CGGAGGCATGGTTTAGTGTGAGGTGTCCCTGCCCCTGGCAGGGGGGTTGGACCTAGATGATCTTAAGGTCCTTTCCAAACCTAACTATTCTAGGATTCTATGATTCTAAGGTGTCCCTGCCCATGGCAGGGGTTGGAACTTCTTTAAGATCCCTTCCAACACAAACCATTCCATTATTTTATAATTTGAGTCACAAGAGAAAGGACAAGCTTTATAAAACAAATGACCTAAATAGGAAGATCTTTAGAAGCTCCGGCAGTTCAATATCCCTGAGGGGAGGAAAACTAATATAGCTCACAATTCCCTATTTGACTTTAAGCACTTCTTCAATATGTTTGCATTCCTTAGAACCAATTTCACTTCACTGAAGTATATCATATTTAACAAAACCCTCATCGATAAGTAATTACAATTAAACCCAGCCCAATTAGTATTATAACTTCTAACATTTTATGCTAAAGTCACATTTAACTCTGCCTGTTGGACTGAAAAATATTACTGGGCGAAAGATGAGAATGTTCATGTGCTAAATGAGGTGCCAGAGGCTGTGTTGTACAAACTGAATTGGCAAATAGCTTAATTAAATATTTTAGGTAAGAACTGCTGAGTACAAAGCACTTTCCTAACTGCTTGTTAAACTGTGCACAGAAACCCCTTGCACTTGCTGGAACACAGTCAGTTTCTTCCTAGTGAAAAATCAAGGAGAATAAAATTATGAACTTACTTGCATTTTTAGTATATTTTTGCATGTGCTGTTGTGTGGGAAAAAGAAGAAAGGGAATGAAAAATATATGCAAGGAAGTGCCTTGGCTTTGCTTCTGGGCAAATGGTAATATGTGTGTTAACATTCATGTGAGACCTCTGTGTGATAAATAGGATACAGAGCTTTATCTCTGACAGCGTTCGCTCTGTGAATCAGAATACATGTGAGCAGATAGTATTTGGTAGATCATTTTTCTGCTGCTTTATCTAAATAGAGTTTCTTTTGGAAGAGCACTCCTGCTGCCATAAAGCAGTGTCCCATGGTTCCTTTTTCCTCATAGCAAATACGTTGCTGCTGGGTGGTCAGGAAACAAATCTTGACTGAGTTCCCAGACAAGAGAAATGTGCTACTTTTTAAAGGTCTGCCTACTGACTTCAGGCTGCTTTTCTCTGGGGGGTCAGGCAGAAGATGAAGAGAAGGTACATGCACACGAGCTCATCAATCTGAGCAAACCTCTAGTACTGAGGCTTAACTTCACAAATTAATAATCAAGAGAGCTTCCCCGCTGACATGGGAAGTGAAGCTCTGCCCATCTTCCCATGGTACAGCCATATGAATAAATATTCTGGCCTGCAGTTTATAGAACCATAGAATCAACCAGACTGGAAAGGACCTTTAAGTCTGGATCAAGTCCAGTTGTTCCCCCAGCACTGCCAAGACCACTGAGGTCACTGAGGGCCTCATCTACCTGGTTTGTGAATGCGCAGAACTGTTCATGTTTTGCTGGAGTAAAAAACATCTTAAAAGTGTATAAGCTGCACAAGTGTAAAGGCTTTAACAAGTCATAATTTGAGTTTGAAAACTATTCAATTTGTTTTAAAGTAACACAGGAGAACATCACAGCACTTTGTATGTTTTAAATACTGTGTAGGATGTACCTTTTTTCCACATATTGCTCAATACACAATTACACTGTTTTCCCATGGCTTTTCCATTAAATTTAACAGCTCTGTATTTGTGGGTTTAATAGGAAAAATTGGATACAATGAAGGTGCTAGAATCTCTTTTATTAGAAGTTTTGAAGGCGAAGTTACATAAAAATATGTCAAGGACAGTCTACTTACACTTTTGCTACCCAGGAAAAGTGGAGTGCACAACAGCTTCTCAGGGTCCACGGGCCCACAGTCTCCATGGACAAAAAGGCCTTTACACCACAGTTTGCTATAAGATTGCTTGAGATCAGGGTTCTCTTTGAGGTTGGATTTGTAAAACAAGACTGGAATTCCCTTTTGGAGATGTGATTATTCCATAAAAAAATATCTCTCCTGAACTAGTATTTATAAAAGCAAATTGGAAAAGTTGTATTAGATTCAGTAAGATGAAAATCTTTATAGTTGTTGCCATTGTAAAACTATTTATTAGATACTACAAATTAGGTGGATGGAAAAATTAAAGCCTAAATAAAAAATTAATAATAAGACTGTTTACTATGACTTTAAATCTGAATATTGCACCTTTGCCAATAGCCTCAACATTGCTCAAACATCAACAGAATTATCCACAGTGAAAAGACTAGAAAGAAGAATTTAAAGGTGATATAAACCAACTTTGCTTTCCCAGTAGCTAAAAGCTCTTTTTCCTCACTTTTCGCCTCTTTTTTATTTAATTTGTCAAATTCATTAGTTTTGATCATCTGCATCCTTCCAGGGATGGGGCAGCCACAGCTTTTCTGGGTAACCTGTGCCAGTGCCTCACCACCCTCATGGAGAAGAGCTTCTTATATCTATCCTGAACTTCCCTGTTTCAGTTTGAACCCATCACCCCTTGTCCTATCGCTACAGTCCCTGGTGAAGAGGCCCTCTCCAGCATCCTTGTAGCCCCCTTCAGACACTGGAAGCTGCTCTGAGGTCTCCACGCAGCTTCTCTTCTCCAGGCTGAACAGCCCCAACTTTCTCAGCCTGTCTCCTACAGGAGGTGCTCCAGCCCCTCATCATCCTCGTGGCCTCCTCTGGACTTGCCCCAACAGCTCCATGTCCTTATGTCTGGGACATCAGAACTGGACACAGTACAGTATTATAGATTATTATAGATTGATATAGATTACTAGTACTACTAATACTCTAATAGTGCAAGAATTATTTGCTAGAAGAGAGAATGGAGATACAATACCTTCAGCTTTCTGATTTGCTGCATTACACGTATGAGTGGAACCCACTGAAGGCAAAGAGGATTGAGTGCAGCCATAAAGGACTCAGCAGCATGCAGACTGGAAAGGCGTGACAAAATTTGGTTGTCACTGCATCTAAAAAGCAATGAACTAAGAGTCTGTCAAAGTGTCCAATACGGTTCCTTGTCCAGAGGAGACAGAAGATGGAGCAGTAATTGCTCTTCTGTGAGTCAGACAGGAGAGCATGTCCTGCTCTAGCTTTTGTGCTGTTACAGCTAAAAGACTAACTCAAGTGTTCCCCTGACATTTAAGAATATAACTTAATAACATTGGGCAGTTTTGTAAAGGTGATAAAATGGTTTTGATTAAAGTGGATGGAATTCCCTCATATTCATTACTCAAGCAATTTTTCTTGTAACTGTGATGAAACGTTTTCATTTTCATGCAACAAGTAAGTGAAAAGATTACCCATGCTGAAAGAATAAGCAGGTTTTTCTCAGCACGTTAAGACATCTCAGCTGACCTCTGCAGAGACAAGCATGTTGTTAGCAGAAGCAAGAGAAGCCAGAGGTTTTGGGCATGTCCTACAGTACAGCTGTGTGCACTGATATGTAAGCGTGTGATGCAAAGAACAAAACTAATTTTGGCATTATCACCTCTTTATTGCAATTAATCTCAGTATCAATAGTGACTAGAGAAATTAGGAGAGCCTTCAGCTTTCAGCTTTGTTCTATTTGGTGAGGTACATGCTGTGAGTTCTGGTATGAGGCACAAACACCCTGTGTCTGGAAATACACACTGCCTTTTTGAGAAGTCACATCCAAATGTCAGATGCTCTCTGGCTACCAAGCATGCTTGTCTGTGATGAGCTTTTACCTACTTCATTCAAAGAAGAAACATATAAAACTCCAGGACTTTCTGGTCTGAGCCCTGCCCGGTGCCTTTCCAAGTTTCCCAGTTTCATTTCATGGTGGGTGTTTGCCCATATATGACAGCGCATGTGAGAGGTGAACATACTTCACACTTATGTAAACCTGAATTAGTGATTAAGTTACGTGAACAATCAAATCTGAGGTAGCTGTTCTCCAAGCAATACCTTCATACTACCAATAGTTGCAGCCCACAAAACTGGCTGTTGAAATGGAAGCACTGATGATATGAATGGAGTTAGTGACCTTTCCGTGCAGCATCATTCTAAAATGATGAAGTCAAGCACGGCTGATCAGTATTTCTCTGCAGCGAGGACAGCACAAAGTTGTAACCTCTGAGATGAAAATAAATCACTGTACACCCAGCCCTGGATCTTTCTGCAGGTTGAAATCTCATTAATGACTATGAGGGGTTTTACCGAGTAAGAACAAGAGTGAAGCCTGGTGTCATCAACTGCAGTGACCACGGTACCACTGGTTCCTTCCCTGCCTAAAAGACCTCAGACAAGGGCAGAGGTAGAAATAGATTTCAAGCAGTTTTGGTTGTTATGGGTTGTTTTGTTTTTACTTACCAGCAACACACGCACAAAAAAAAAAGGAAAGACAACACACTTAAACATAGGAAAACCTTTTCAGTCTTTCAGCAGTGCAACAAGGACAGAGATTACGTTAATTTTAGCGGATAAAAGGAATGTATCCACAAATACCAGCCCTAAGAAAGAACACCTGTATGATCAAGTTTTAATGTCAGTGTTCTTACATATTGCCTTGTAAATGATTTCCTAGTCCTTACACCTCAGGGTGTTAGTTACGAGTTGTGCCGAGGTATCCGTGTCCCCACGAGGGCCTGATGAGAGACACGTTCAGCCCAGGTGGCTGGGAATGGGAGCAGCGGGTACCGCAGCTGAGGAGGCACAGAGGAGTTGCCGGTCGCACACTCCATGCAGGACAAACAGCGGATGAACGGGAATTCTCGGTCCGAAGATCACCTTCCATCCACATCCTTGCGGAGCACTGCAGCGCCAAGCGTCGCGTTAACCGGTTGCCCCCTGCCGCAGGTCCGCTCTAACTCCCGGTACCCGGACCTCCACGGCGGGCATGGCGAGCATCCCGATCCGGTCCCGCCGAGCTCCGCGGCTCTCCACACCTCTACCCCGCCTCCCCGTTACGCTCCCGCGGCCTCCATCCCCGCTCCGCTCCGCCCCGCCCCGTGACGCCGGTTGCTAGAGAGCCGGGCGGGCGCTCCAACCGCTGCCTTCCTCCCGCGGCGGAGCCGGCCCGGCCCGGCCCGGCTATGGCGGCCGAGGAGGAGGAGGGCGACTTGGAGTGGGTGGTGGACACCATCGCCGGGTTCCTGCGCGGGCCCGCCTGGTCCATCCCCATCCTGGAGTTCATGGAGCAGAAGTGCGACGGTGAGCAGCGGGGCCGGGCCTTCCGGAACCCACCCGCGGGGAGCGGCCTCGGTGCGGGCACATGCGGGGGGACGGGAGGTCCCGGGGGGTGACTCTGCCTGCGCGGCAGCGGGACCGGCCCCCGCTGGTTGGTGCGGGCACCGGGCGGTTGGCACGTCCGGTCGGTGTCCGTGGCGCCCCTCGGGAGAGATCCCCGCTGAAGGCTCGTCGGGTTTTGCTTAGCCACAGCCTCCGCTTTGGGACCGGTTTTGGGGAGGGGGGTTGATCCTGGAAGGTCGGTGACCCCCCGCAAGCCATTAGTCAGGCTGTGGCAATTTGCGCTCATTAGCTCGTACAGGGGATTATGGCATGAGCTTATAGCGTGGCACCCGAGCGGGTCCTTCGCTCTGCTGTGCGTAATACCCTGGTGTGCTAGAAAGGGGGTAGAGGCCTTTAATGCTTTCCCATAGGTAAATGTTTTCCTCAGGAAGCTGGACAGCACAATTAAAATCACTGTCTGGTCAGTGGGACAGAAGCTAGGAGGCACAAAGTTAAATTCCTGCAACTGGCAGTTAAGAGATGAGAAACCGTAAGTTAATACCTCTCAAAAAACGATAGCACTAAAAAGCCAGTGGCTACCAGTTATGTTCTGTAGGACGACCTAGGCATGAGCTTAGCTCAGAAGCAACTCCAGTTGAACTTGCTTTTCTTCCTCAAGAAGAACATGAGAGAATCACGGGATAATCTGGGGAACAGCCTGGGTAGTACGAACAGCAAGAGGGGGACTGGAGCAGACCTACAGCTCCGTGAAAAGGTGCCTGAGGAGACGCATACAGGTCTCAAAAACATGTTTGAGAACACAGTACAGTAGCCCTTGATCTTGCCCACACATGAGAAGTATTAAAGCATGTTGCCATAGACTAATTTAGGGTCACTTTCTTTGGCTACTATGAGTAAATCTGTCCCTTCAGTATCACCTGACAGGATGTAGGACTCCTAGCAATTTTAACTTTAAAATATGGATGTCATAAAATGAAAGCTTTCATTTATTTCATTTCATTATTCCTAGGGACTTACCGATGGTTCTTACTATTAACATACTGTCCCTGCTTGGGCATACTCCTTCTTCCCCTCTGTCCTGCTGTGGGCTCCGGAACAGCTTCTGTAATGGTTGGTCAGGGGGCCAGTGTCTCCTGTTGTACAGATGTTCCTGTTAGGGCCCATTAAGAGGTTTTATTTCATGTTCAGTGAAATAGACACACCTCTGATTCAGATCAGCTTCTAAACAAGCTGCTTCTCAGTTATCCTGAATCAGTTCTACCCTTTCCAAGCAAGATCATCCTCAAATCATAGAATCAACCAGGGTGGAAAAGACCCTTCAGATTGTCAAGTCCAACCGTTACCTGAGGACTGCCAAGACCACCACCAAGGGCCTCATGAGTGTATACCTTTCCCTTGTATACTGGGAAGAGAAAAGGGTAAAGCTGCTGGACTCTACAGTGAGGAAGAGAGAGTGAAATCTAGACTAGAAGTTTCTCTTGGAAGTGCTTAATCTTGAGCACAGTGACGCACTTTGGTTATCGTGCAGAAGTTCTAGGTTTAGGGATCGAGGGAATCGATTATCCCTCTCTGGAGCAATGGTCTCTCTTTAGAAGGTTGAGGGGCATTTACTGGCAGTAAGATTTGGGGAACCTCTGTAAATTTCCACTTAGTGTGAGTCAAGCTTGTGCAATGGCCAATGCCCCGTGTTGCTTTCTACCTGGAGGAACAAAGGAGAGAAATCACTTGAATAAATGATCTTCCAGGGTATCACTTGTGCTACAGATTGGCATTGGGCATCTTTTTTAGCAAAAAGGCTAGAGAAGTGTTAACTGCAATGCTAGGGTTGATAAGAAGCACAGGTAAAGACATTTGAAATTTCAGTTGCAGATACCTGTGCTATTTGCTTTTCCTTTCTATAAATGTACTGTGCTGATTCCATTGCTGTATTTTGTCAGGAAAGAATTCCTTTCCTTCTCAAGGCATTTAGTCTTTGGGCTGAACAAGCAAATCAGCAACATTTTATAAGCTGGCAGTAATCTGTGATTCCTCAAAAATACCATTCGAGTGTTGGCAATCGGTGTGTAAGGCATTTACCTTGGCACTACAGTTACTTAGGCCAAGGGCTTGCTACGACTCGTAAATGAGTGTAATGGATTTCTATCTGCTGACAGGTTGCTTTTTCTCACTCCCTCTTTCTGGGGGCTTGATTAATTTCTCATGGCTTGATTAATCTCCTTTTATGTGGCTGTAAAATTGAAGTGAAATCCATGGGTAATGTACTTAAGGCAAGAGGGCTTTTCAGTTTTATTCACATGTTCCAAGGTGTTAACTGAAACATCATTTGGACATAGGTAAACTTGAGAATAACTCTGAGCACCAGAAGATAAAGACAAAGGAATAAACAGGTATTGCTGGGGCCTAGGAGAGAAAGATGAGAGTTCCCTCAGGTTTGCTTACCAGCTCTTGTCTGTAACAAGAAGACCTCAGACTTAACACTCATCCTGTTTGAGGGGTCCCAGCAAACGTTTTCAGCTTTAGCAGGAAAATGAGGAGCTTGTCTCCCAGGATATCCAGGTCCCCTGGCTTACCTCAATCCAGTGCTGCTTCAGGCATTTGTTCCTGTCCGGTGATCAAAGACTGTTCCAGAACCTTAAAGAAAATGATGATTACTTGGTTTAGGAGCTATGGCTCAAGACAATCCAAGGTCTCCATTCAAAGTACTCCTTAATGCCACTTAACTCAGAGGAGATGCTGACTGCAGCTTGCTTTACTTGGAACTTAACTTCATCCCCTTTTAGTTCAGAGCCTGAGAGCAGTTTGTGCAGGCTTTCCAGCCTGCTTTCCATGTTGTCCTGTAGCTGTGGAAGGAGGAGGAGGACTTGGAAGCATCCCTTTGGCAATGTGAGATTAGCTGTTGGTGTGGACACTGGCTGTGGAATAACATCCCTGTGTCATCCCTTCTTTAGGTGCCCAGGGTGGGGAGGAACAGCAGGAGGTAAAAGGGAACAGAGAAACTAAGACAAAGGTTGGGGACTGGAAGAGCTGTCAGGGAGATCCCCCAGAGGCCAGGAAGAGCTGCAGAAGACAATAGAGGTAGTTAAGTGTCTTCACCCTCTTGGGTTTTGTCACAGAAATAAGATTTGTAGTGCTTTTCTACCATTTGAATTCATTCCTAGATATTTTTAAAGCTTTTGTTTTAATCCTGTTATAAAAGATTTCCCTTGGGCAAAACTGAAACAAAAGCAAATGTTGCTTTTCCAGATTATGTCATTTAAAAAGTCATCTAAATGCGTGTGAAAGTTAGACTAATCCTCTGTGCATCAGCACCATCTTCCATCAGAGATGTCGGATATAGATGAAGAATAAATCACACTCATTCACATATTTAAGCAGAATTCCCATCCTTAAAACGACTTCAAAGCCAGGATGTGGGAAGTGACTTGTCCAGCGTATAGTGGCTAATCTTGAAGGGGATTGAGGAAGTCTTATTTCTAAGCCTCTGCTTTAATTGCTGGGTTTGACATTACCTCTGTTCTTGTTGACATGAAAACCCCATGAATTAAAACCTCCCAAACCCTAGTTTTCAGTTTCCCTTATTTTCTGCTTCTTCCATCTGTTCTGCAGCATAGAGACCATTAGCTTGATACTTCCAGTCGAGTTCTTAATACAAATTTATACAAATATGATTAATATGGGCTGTACTATACAGATGGCCATTTTGTCTGAATCAGGATAGATATCATTAGAAAATAATCTACCTGTGTCAGATTTTCTCTTTGGTGTTAATCTGCTTTTCTGCAGACAGGGTCTGATTTCCTGCATCACTTTGGCTCTTGCTAAGTGAATAGCATTTAAAAGAAATTTGGTTTAAATCATTAATATATCCTCCATGTAAATACATGGAGAGAGGGAGAAATTTCCTGCTTTATATATGTCATCTGCCACCTTAGAACAACCTCATGCAAGTTCACAGGGTAGTTATATTAAACCTTATATTAAAAACATATCAAACCTCACTTTTTAGTGTCCATATCTGCTGAATCCTCAACTTGCTTAAAAATCTGCTTCTACTATGAAGATATGTTTTCCTGGGCTGAAATTCAGTGACATTAAATTACCAGAAGTACATGCCTAACCTGAATGTGTGGAAAATACATTTATTATTGTCATCATCATCAATAATGGCATGTATTTTAATATGATCCAGTATATTACCTTGTAAAGGTTAATCCTTTAAGGCATAAGTTAGTTTGTAGTGCATCCCTAACTCTAAAATGTGTGTGTGTGTTTTGCCCCACAGTTTTTGATGATGAAGAAGAAAGCAAATTGTCTTACACAGAAATCTATCAGGAGTACCAAGCTCTGGTGAGTGTTATTCACTATTTGGGGTAGGTTTCTAAGAAATCTAATTTAAAATGTTAAAGTAAGATTTAGATGAACTTCTGATGGGGTTATTTTTGTTATTTAGAATTTTCTAATGTTGCCTGTTATAGGTGTTACTCAGAAATCCTTTGAGTCTCAGGTGTCATGCTTAAATACAAGATAAGTAGAAAAGAAACTAACGCACGGTCATATCTGTTATGCTGTATTACATATTTTTCATTAAAATTAACATATCCACTAGCTAAAATACTGTACTTAAAGGCTGATAATGTTCATCTTTTCTGTCAAGTTAGAATGCCCAACAACACAATGTCTGACACGTGTAACTTGTGTTTTGTTCACTAGCGAGTCTCATAAATCTTGAATTAACTTGCAATAATGGGAGAAAAACTGAATTAGTGAGGCTTGTGTTTTCTTTCAGGTTGAAAAATTATTAGAAGACTATCTTAAAGAAGTTGGAATTAATGAAGAGAAATTTCAAGAAGCTTTTTCATCTCCTCTTGCAAAGACACATACTTCTCAGGTATTTCCTTTTGTTAAGGAATGTAGAGATTGACCTTTTAGCTTCGTATTTTCACTAATGTAGCTGGGTGGAGATGAAACTTTGCAAAGTTTTCTTTTTAAGAGTGTAATTGTATAAAAGAGAATATGTTTTTATTTGACCTTTGAAAATAATGACAGATATTTATGTGTCGGACACCTTCGGAGATTCATCTTCTATGCTTTGTATTTTCTAAACAAACCTCTTAAGCTTAGGGTGTTTCTGCCACTTTTGTTTGCATATATGTCAGCTTTATGTTAGTCTTCAGCCATTCACAGCAACACACTTAAAAAATAGATATATTCCATAAAATAAAAGATGTTTTCCTCTGATTTTATCATAAAACAGTAAAATCTGTCAGAGAAACATTGGCCTTGAGAAGAGAAGACTTGGTTGGGCAACTCTTCCCCTTCTCAAAGAGATCTTTCAGTATTGCTTCAGGTATTTTGGGCAGAGCAGTGGGAGCTTCTGTTGCCAGTTCAAACTGGGCTCTGTTGACGTACCTCCTCCTCGATGTGTAACCAGCTTCTTCAGAGCACACATTCCTCACTCCAGCTTATGCATTTATGCAGGAAGTCACATTGCAGTTGGAAACTTACACTGGGAATCCATCCAGGTTTTGTGCTAATGTTATTGTAAACATAAGATCTCAAGACATAAACCATCGAATTATTTTCTTGACTATCAGCTCAACCTGTATGGCTGGAAAAATAGCTAGGAGAATTAAATCTAATTATTAAAAACATGCTCCACAGAATTTAAAGCTTCACATAATTCCAAGCAGCCTGAGTTGGTTATGATTTCTCTATGAGTTTTAACCCTGTGCATGTTTTCTCCCCACAGGCCATCTTGCAAACAGTGTTGGCAGCAGAAGATTTTAGACTATTTAAAAAAATGATGGTACAGAAAAATATTGAAATGCAATTGCAAGCTCTTCGAATCATTAAAGAAAGAAATGGTAAGAAGTGGTGAGCGTGGGATTTCATCTTTTTAGTGTTCTATTGATGACTCTGTAATCCTTTTGTAACCGAGGATGGAATACTGGTTCAGTTCCAGTTCAAGTTAATGGAAAACATGCAGCTGATGGTACTGGGACTGGGATTTCAGTACTCAGTCCCTGGCCTGTATTCTCAGTGAGAGCTGTCTATAGTCCTTTTTAAATTAACAGATTTTTCAGCTGTGTTTGTCTAAATCTTTCTGTGAAACTTGACTTAGTTTTCTGTTACATTTTTTGGTGATAATTTTGGGTGTTCATCAGCAGTGACAATATTGATAGTTTGAATTGTGCTACCTGCATAGCAATGATGCTGTACTATCTGCTGTGCCTACTTTGCAATTCAGGCTGTACAGTTGCATATGAATAACCCAGAAAGCAGAAGTTACAGCTTCAGCATGCTAATACATGCTTCTAAAGAAGAGGAATTAATTTACACAGAGCTTTACTGCTCTGCTGATGTTTCTGAAAGGATTTTCATCTACCTGCTCCTTTACTTCATGTCTTTAGCTTTACCATTTTGTTTTGTCTCCTTCCTGCATGATGATTTTTGAGAATCATTTCTAAATGTCAACTTTCATGTAACAGCTAAACGTGAAAATGGTTCAGTTGGCCACGGCCGAATTGAGTCTGTGGGAAATGCCATGTAATGGTCAATGCAGAGTATGGCTTATGCTTTACCCTTACATGTCTGAACTTTATGGGTCAGAAACCTTTGCCTTTTTGCTGCTAGCAGTGATGCCCAGGATATAAAATCTTTTTGGAAGCAGGTACATAGAGGAAGAATTAGATGGGTTTGAGTTTGTTTTCTTTCTCTTCGCTACCTGAAGATGATGCCAAAGGGACTACAAGATAATTTTCTTTAGAGAAATGCATAAATTTTGCCATGATTTTTGTAGGTGTCTTACCTGACTGCTTGACAGAGGGTTCTGATGTATTCAGTGAAATTGAACAAGAAGAAATGAAAATACTGAGGGAGGTTCTAAGGTAAAAAATGAATCAGTCCTACTTTGTACATTGTTTTACAATAAAAAATAAAGGTATGTAGGGCCTAACTGCTCCAGCTTCTCCCAGGAAACTGACTTCATCTTACAGATGACATGAATGTTCTTGACAAAGCCCTGCCTAACATGAATGGTGCTAGATGGTGGGTGTGATCAGGAGACTAAGATAACTGCTCCACCATGATGGTGGATGCATGGAATGATGTGCAGCTTGAAGAGCCCCATCATTTCCTTTCTCCCTGAATCTACAAGTAGACTTAGACCTGGGTTAGATGTCTCTGGACAAGAGAGGCACACTGGCTGTAACCCATTCAGGGAACACACTAAACATCAAAGCCTTGGGAAGACAAAGGGTGCTTTTTCAGTAGGCTTTTTTCCTTTCCACAGCTTCCTTCTTAGCTGTGTTCAATGACTGTTGCTGTGATCCAGGAAGATGTGTGAGGACTGGTATACTTCTACAGATACTCCTCCACTCCCAGTTCACATATATATATGAACATAGACAAATAATAGCAGATTAATACATTCACATATTAAATCATGCCATTTTCCCTCTGTATTCAGAAAATACTTCCCTTCTTGACTTTAAAGGAGCAAATGAAACAAGCCCTGGAAATTCTTACACAATTGTTTTTGCACAGGGAATGACAGACTGAGAATGGTGGGTTCTGTATGTTTATCAGAATTATTTCTATTAAGAGTGCATTTGAATTTAAGTCATGGAAATATTTTGGATACTAACAATTATCCTGTAATGGTTTTGATAGTCCTCAAATATTTAAGCAGTGCTAAATTTACCTAAAAGAAGAAGTTTTGAGCATTTACTTGTATTTTGTGCTACAGAAAATCTAAGGAAGAATATGAAATAGAGCAAGAAAGAAAGAGAACTGAAGAAGTGAGTATCTTACCTTTCCAGATGAGTTACGTTGATGATTAAGGAATACTCTGATCTTCTGTCCTGCGTGTCACCTGTATCACTTTAAGGCAGTATGTACCAACCTAAGCAAACAAAGGGGCTGTCAGGAAGGTCTGCCTGATACTGCTCTTTGAAAGGTCTGTTATTTATGTTTTTTTTGATGGTGGCATTGACACCATCAGCCATTTGGTGGAGTTCATATGAAAACATACTCCCACTCCAGTATCTGAATTCCAAAATCCTGCTAACGGATGTCAACCTTTCAGATCCAGAGAACATCTGAATTACTAATATTGTCAAGATCAAAGAGACTTCAAAGTATAAGCTTCTTAGAGATTACAGCATTCATAATCCTTCAGGAATTTTAAGGATCACTTCATAGACAGTGTAGTTATTCATTAAGTCTGCACACTACTACCAGAACCTAATCACCAGGAGCCAGAAATCCTCTCCAAATTAGACCATCACTTGGTCTCAATTAGAGTAAACTGTATAGAAAGGTGAATTCAGAAAACTGAATGTAAACAGGGATGGGTTAAATTGCCAATTGCTCAGCAACAAACTGAAACTGAAATAGGTTTTTACAAAGGCCTGTAGGGAGAGGCCAAGGGGAATGGCTTGAACCTGCCAGAGGGGAGACTGAGCTGAGCTCTTAGGCAAAAGCTTTTCCCTGTGAGGGTGCTGAGGCGCTGGCACAGGGTGCCCAGAGAAGCTGTGGCTGCCCCATCCCTGGCAGTGCTCAAGGCCAGGTTGGACATGGGCTTGGAGCAAGCTGCTCCAGTGGAAGGGGTCCCTGCCCGTGGCAGGGGTTGGAGCTGGAGGAGCTTTAAGGTCCCTTCCAACACAAACCAGGATGGGGTTCTATGAAATCAACTGCAGTGGAATCGTGGCAATAAATCTCCCTTTTCCTGGGAGGACATACACACATAGCTGGAATTGTAGGCTGTTTCAGAAGAGAGCAGAATCACCTTGCTAGTCTTTTCTGCCATTAGGAAGTCAAACATAATACATATGGAAAGAGAAAACACTTTCTTAAACCTAAAGTGACAAAGGAAATCACCTGCAGACCAAATGCAGCTACTTCCTTGTTGACATTGTGCTTCTAATCCTCTCCCCAGTTCAAACCTGTGGTAGCAATGCTATTGAATGCAAGTCCTGAACACTTGCAATATTCTACCAAATTAAATCCCTGCCCCAGGGTCTGACACTGCAGAAGAGTGGTGAGAAAACTCTTCCTTCCCATAATACAATGACATTCCAGGAAACAAGTCACCTCTTCTACTGGATTTCTTACAAAACTACTAGGAAAGTCAAACTTTAGCTCATTTTAGGAATCGAAGTTGTATTAAAATGCAGGCTTATCCAAGAATAACAATGCTCTTGATAAATAAAACAGATTACAGAAGGCCCAGTCAAGTTTACCTTGATACTTACTGTTCAATAATGTATTTTTTTTTTTAGAGAATGTTTTAATACCACGTAATTCCATGTTTTGATGGATGCTGGAGGGTTTTGACATGAATTAGATGGTTGATGAACAGTGTAGACATTCCCTGGGCAAATCCCAGTTGTCTTTACTATTTTGAGATACAGGTTGTGTTGTCAAGATGTGAATCAATGGTGTCAGAGATTACCCAGACCTGTTGTTTCCATTAAGCTGATGATTTCTCTGTTTCTGTGGAAACCTCAATATATGGTCCTGCTTCTCCTATTGCACTGGATTTTTCTGGTGGACAACAGAGGTTTGCTAAGTTGGCAAAAAAAAAACCCAACTCCAAATTATCTCTTTTGGGAAACAAAAACCAATTTACCCAATATCCCAAACTCTCATTGTTGTTTAGGGAACAGGTTTTGAACAAAACCAAAAAATACTGACTTATGACTGTAAGCCAGTAAGAACCTTCCTCTTAGTAAACCAAAATAGGTAGTTTGCTTTTGTTCACTTTGACAGTGCAGCGTGTAGTGCAAACAACACTGCTTTAACTCAAAGTTCTCTTGGGAGCTTTCTTTGTGTTGACAATTGGACTGTAGTGCCAGGAGATGGAATGCTTGGTTTTGCATGTTTCTCCTTTAATTTAAGGCACGCGATAAAACAAAGTCACCAGCTGTTACCTGCAGTGTTCCAGGAGATGCGAGAGAAGCTGTTAAATCCAAGGAACCCAGTGAAGGAGCTCACAGTCCTGAAGAAACTCCAAAACCTCGATTAGGTAATCTTATGGCAAAGTGCAGTGCTGAGTGTGCAATGTGATGCTGTTTCCGAATTGTGGAAGACTCCATGGATAGAAAGGTTTGAAGAACCTGGCTGGATAGGCTGTGAGGAAAACATCGTAGCTTTGAAGTTCACCCTGCTTTAAGCAGGATATTTGCAGTGAGAGACCTGCAGAAATGCCTCCGACCAGAGTTGTTTTATTACTCAGTGATGTTCTAAGTCATCTCCAACTGGAGGAAGCTTCTCTGGGCACCCTGTGCCAGCGCCTCAGCTCCCTCACAGGGAAGAGCTTCTGCCTAAGAGCTCATCTCAGTTTCCACTCTGGCAGGTTCAGGCCATTCCCTTTGGCCTGTCCCTACAGGCCCTTGTCAAAAGTCACTTTTTAGGGGCTTACAATGTCTCCCCTTTTTATTACTAGCTTTCAAAAACCAGATACTGTATTTGCACTCTGAGAAAGATTAAATTATGCTTTACACCATAAGTACCTCTACTGCAATGAGTTATAAATTGTCAAATGCCTGGAACATGATTTCATATTCAGTGTTCCAATAGTCACTGGCACAGGGTGCCCAGAGCAGCTGTGGCTGCCCCATCCCTGGCAGTGCTCAAGGCCAGGTTGGACACAGGGGCTTGGAGCAAGCTGCTCCAGTGGAAGGGGTCCCTGCCCGTGGCAGGGGTTGGAGCTGGAGGAGCTTTAAGGTTCCTTCAACACAAACCATTCCATGATTCTATAAATGTGATTTTCATTTTTTGAAGTTTTCTGGTTTTGAAGAGGCATCTGCCTGTTGGAAGAAACACTGATTTATTTATCTATTCCTATTCTTTCTCATTGCTACTTAGAGGAATCTCAGAAACCTGTGAAGGAAGACTTAAAACCTGTCCGACCATTACCTAAAGGAGCAGAAAGCTCACCTCAGCCATCTGGCACCAAAGGGAAAGGCGACAGTAAGAAAAGGTCAGCTGGAAAGTGTCCCGAAAATGCAGCACAAAAAGCTGGGATGAAAGGACCTGTAAGTTCAAAACAAACAAGATAAAACCCCAAACAACTAGAACACAGAAAGACAGGATTACATTTCAAATATATATTTAAGACAGTATTACTTTTAAATATGTATTTTCTGTTCTTTTAATCAGGTGGTTTTGGTCTGGGTTTGTTTTTAACACAGAGTACAAACACTATTTTCTGGTTTAATTTGCATGACGTCCAGATCATCATTCTAGTTTTAGAATAGAACCCAGTACTCAGCATTTGTCCTGTGATCATTTCTTAGTAGACAGCTCTGGCTTCAAACCTCAACTTGGATTTTTTGTTTCACCTAGTGATTTTGGAGGCAAATAGGATGTAAATGCTTTTATCTGACAGAACATGCACTCCAAAAACTGATTTCAAACTCTGTTTAAAAACCAATTCCAGAATTCCTCAGAGGTTGAAAAGCAGGAGTTGAAGCAACGAGAGGACTACCTGAAGAAAAAACGAGACATGCTGATGGCTACAAAGAAAGACTCAAGAAATAATGTACTGTTACCAACAGACACTGCACAGAAAGCAGAGGAATCGCCTCCTAAAGAGGTGAACATTCAAACATTTGTATTGTAGCTGGCAGCATTTTCAAGTTACTACCTTTGCAGCAGCTTACAGGCTAGAAGTTTCAATGATTAAGTCAGCATTACCCTGCTTCAGTATCATCAAATCCTCAGGGGTAGCTATATTTATATATGGTTTTCTCCTTGTCTGTTCATTTGAGTTTTGTGCCACTTTCAGATGAAGAAATCCTTGTTTTCTATCCATCAACCGCTGCAATAGAAGCCACATACCATTTAGAAAGACAAAGCACTCTGAAAGGTGGATACTGCTGTCACCTACCCAGTTGCCTCCAATAGAAATAAACCCAAGTCTGTGTGAGAGTTGGAGGCATAGGACAGGGTGAAAACAGAATCCTATGACAGGATAAATCCCTACCAGTATAGCAATCGTCTTCAGAGAAGAAAACAGTAACAAAACTGGTTTTTGCTCATCAGTGTAGTGGTCAATATGACTTAATGCATTTACCACATTAGGCCTGATGTACATCTGTATGAAAAGAAATGCTTGAGAACTCTCCACACAAACGAAACTAGTAGAAGGCCTTAAACCTTACACAAATCAATGTGATAACTGTTGTGTCATTACTCCTCTCTGCAGAGTATATACTTAAAACCTTCTGTTGGCTCAGGTGTTTCTCAGAGTTGCTGAGCATTTTATTACGCTCAGAACATGCCAAAATACTGTTGATGGGGAACTCCCCTCACAAAGCAGCACCAGTTCAAGCTGAGGTTAGTCCTCCCAAGAAGACTGGTACAGTGCAGTGGAAAAGAGGCATAGGGATGTACAGAGCCAGTTACCCCCATCCTGGGATCCACTTCACAAAACATGGGATAATAACATGGTTTCAAACCACTCCGAAGAGCCTGTGAGGCAGCCTCAGGTTTGCCACCAACAGCACTTGCCCTGTGGTTCACTGCAGTGTTTGTTCACTTTGCTTTTTAGGAGATGTCAGAAGAGAAACAGAAGTTGCTCCAGAAGAGGAAGATGCTCGCAGAAAAGCTAAAAGAAGAAGTTATCAATAAGCGGTAATCTTAAGCAGCTCGTGGCAGACCCCAAGAACATGAGTATGTTTTTAGAGTAAGTTACAGAACCAGCAACTGAATGGAGTTGCTTTTCAATATTACACTTAGTTTTCTAGAACTTGCAGACAAGGTAACTCAGTACTTTGTATGTACTTAAAATTCCACTGAAACACACTAAAACCACTTATTTTCCAGAATGCTGGAAACTCACTTTCACTGGAACACGTTCAGCCATTTAATACCACTGCAACACACAGATCAGTTTCTAAACTACTGGCCTCAGACTTTGGTATTACATAGAGCAAAAGCGGATCCTGAAATCTGTTCAAGTAATTCCTACAGGAACAGCTCTGAATTAGGAACATTTCAGCATATAGAATCATAGAATTGTTTGGGTTGGAAAGGACCTTAAAGATCATCCAGTTCTTCCCCTGCCATGGGCAGGAATGCCTCACACTACACCATATCACCCAAGGCTCTGTCCAAAACTGTTTTTCATCTGCACGACGTAATAAAGTCCCACTTAACAAGGAAATGCAACTACAACCATCTTATTCTTAATGAAGGTAACACTTGGAGTCCAGGCATTTACATAGTAACTCAGGATTACATTGGCTTATGTATTTCTGGGGCAGTTTACCAGTCCTTAGTTCTAATGTTGCTATAGATGCAACTAATTGCTTTAGTTGCACAGCTCAGGAAGGTTTCAAAGTGGAAATCTTTTAAAGTGAATCTTTACTGGCTTGGCTTTGACAGACTTGGGACAGTATCCTTTGCACAATGTCACAGAATCACAGACTGGTTTGGGTTGGAAAGGACCTTAAGCTCACCCAGTTCCAACCCTGTCACAGGCAGGGACACCCTCCAGTAGACCAGGCTGCTCAAGGCCGTGTCCAACCGCATTGTTGCATAGTTGGCTGCAACACTTAACACGCATTAAAACACTTAACACGCATTAAAAGAACAAACTGAAACACTTCAAATTTCATGTAACTTTTTATTAAAATAGCATTTATAACTGGTACACGTTGGCAGATGTTCTGTTCTTTCCCCCAAAGAGCAGCAGTGGAAGGACCCCAGGCACGGGAACACAGCTGCCTGCAGGCAGAACCCAGCAGTACCAACCAGGTCAGGCTGGGAACAGCACCCACAGGGTGGGAGGACAGACCCAGGTGAAAAGGGTGCTGCTGCACCTCATCTGCTACAGGGATTTTAGGGCTTTTCCTTAAATGGGACATCTAATGCCACTTTACACAGTCTGCTTCTAGTAACTATAAAAATTCATTACATTCTTATTCTTGCTGTAAAAATCCTCATGTTGGTCTGAGTGTGGTTTTAAAGCTCCTGCCAGTACTTGAGGGACAAGATGGGGTGGTGGTGAGCAGGGGAAGGACACAGTTCAGGCAGAGACCCTCGGAGAGCTTGGTTTGGGTAGTGGTGAAAGAGCATCAGAACAGTTCAGGTCCACAGACCAGATGGCATTTTCCAGCCTCAGGTTAGTAAAGGCACATACACCTCTTGAGTAGCATGTGTGGTGCTGGAAGTTAAATCATCTTTACAACAGACAGAAGACTCCTCAGGAAGGAAAGCAGATGATCACCAACTCACAATGATGCTGCTGCAGCTCCCCTTTAACAGCAGACACTTCCTTGTGCATCAGTAGCACTTCGTTCCATGGGTGAAGAATACGGAGTCCCATTCCTGGCTGCCTGGAGCCACAAAGGGCACCACCACTGTCCCCAGGTCCACTCATCCATCAATGCTCATGGTTAGCTTATGCACTGGGAGGAGCTCACACATTCCCTTTGGGATTTCATCTAGTGGTATAGAGTTACTTTCCAAACTGCATGGATAACTAACCTTTAAAAATCCTCTAAAACGGCCACATTTAAAATTCAGAGTTAACTTCCCATGTGTAACAAACCAAACCAAAGCAATACTTATGGAATTACAGGGTCACATTTTAATTCCTGAATTTTACAGTTCAGCATTAATATCACCACATGTATACAAATGGTGTAAAACAAGTACAGTGGTATTTTTAATACAAAATAAACTTCTGTTTTATGGAAAAAAAACTATACTTCATATCTACACAGACAGCCCATCTTTTTCCAAACAATAGCTAAAATTAAAACTACCTACAAAAAAATCTCCAAAACAGAGAAACTGCTTCAGTTAAAACTATTCCAGGAGAAATGGACCCAAAACACGTATTACGAGTGATCTACGCGGTGGATTGCAGCTGGTTTTAACCTTCCTGACACGGCAGTTGTCACTGGGGAATCTCCTCTCGCTTCCTCATGATCTCAGATCACATGTGGGCAAACTAACATTAAAGTATTTACAGTTCACTCGCTGCTCTTGGACATAAAACCTGCGCTGTTTGCCTCTATCCACTCGCTGCCAACTCACCTCGACTTGTCACCTACGTGGAATGTGCTTTGATGGGTTAAAAAAGCAGCTTTTGTGTGACACCCGGGCTCAGGTGCTGCTTGTGGATCCCGCCTCAGAGCCCGCTGTGCTGTGAGGAACAATTTCATCTTGGTCCAAAGTGACTTTGGTGTTAAAAGCGCTGCTCAGCTCATCGCGGTGACCAGTGCGGTGGTGCTGCCCATGACCACCTCAGTTACACCTCACCAACGGGGAAGGGCTCCCTGCTCCATGGAGAGACAGCTCACCTCGCATCCCAGGCAGCAATTCCAATCAGGATCCTTCCCACCGCAAAGCCGGCGGCTGGCCACGTGCACCGCTGCCACACGAGCAGCTCCTGGAGGTACTGTGGAAGCGCCTGTTCCTTGGCATGGCTATTACTGGATGTCGAATTGGAAAACCAAGCAAAACCATCTGTTTGGAATCCAGCTTCCATTTGCTCCTCTTGAAAAACACAAATTAAAACCTTCTTTTGAACTGGTTGAAACAACTCAACATGCACTGGAACTGCAGTGTCCCTCCCTCCGACCAACCACGAGAAATGTCACTGAATTGCTAAGAAATGGTCCCCAAATCTGGATTGTTCTGCAAACAGAGTTAGTTTTCCCTTCAGTTTTAAAAGAGGCATTGCTAAAAGAACACAACGGACAGCACCATTACAAAATTAAGATTACCAGGTTGGAAATTGAAGCTTGAATTGTTATTTTTTCTCTCCTAGTTCTGTTAAACACTGGGGAAACCCTGCAATAGTATTTAAAAAGTGTTTTACACCCCCTTCCCTCCCTGCCCTCCCCACACCTGAGCCTTTCCTCACTGAGGAGCCAGCATCCAGGTCCTCTGAACACCAACCCGCTGCTTTTGATTTCAGTTTGCTGACAGCCTGAATGGCAGACTCCTGACTTACTAGAAAGATATTCAGTTCCTTGGAAGCTTCGTGTTTACAGAACTAACCCTTTCTAGCTGATACACCGAGTTTCTTTTGCTACTCCTTGTATTATCTTATATACTCATGGGAGAAAGCTTTCTGAATCAGATTCCTTTTTAGCTCTTAAAACAGTTGCAGCATTTGAAACCCCATAAGAAAAAGTTTTTATTCCAAAGTTTTGGTTTCATTTATGAACCCAAACGAGGTCTTTTCCTTGGAGATGCCTCCTCCTCTTCGTCATCATCTTCATCATCGGGATAATCCACGAGGCCAACCAGGCTTCCCTGCCGATTCAAGAAAGGAAAAAACAAAAGTCCCACATTGAAAAGAATGCTCAGGAACACGCAATGTTAGTTCCTAACCCCCACCAACCTGCCCAGGACACCCACGCCTGCTGCAGAAGGTTTCTTGGAGATGCCGTTTTCATTCCAAGACCCATTTGCTTTGAGAATGTTTCAGAACCTTGAGGTTAAAAAAAATACTGGAATTGTGCCTCTGGATCTGGCCTCAGGATTATTAAGAAACCACTTCTTAAGCTCTGAGGTGGACAGTCCAAATCTCTTGTGCACAAAGCACATCCCTTCTGCTGCCAAGTCTTAGGGGACTCGCTGTTCTGTAGCCTCTTGGGAGCACACAGCTGAAGACTTAAGCAACACATGAGCAGGGAAAAGGGAACAGAGGGATCACCTACTGCATTTCATCTGCTCAGAAACCCTTAATAATTCCCCCATGGGGAGGAGCACTAACATAATTCAGAGAAAACCCATCTCACACACAGAGCATTAACTGGACAGTTAAAAAAAAGTGAATGACTGGGCATTATGTGGAAGGTGTGAAATTAAAGTGTGCCTACCAGATCATCAACAGATTCTAGTCCCACCTAGTCCTTAATTAAACCTTACCTTAGAGTAGCAAGGGTTTAACTAGACAGGACTTTGGATGAATTCATACACAAAAAGAATCATAGAATCCCATCCTGGTTTGTGTTGGAAGGGACCTTAAACATCATCCAGCTCCAAGCCCCTGTGTCCAACCTGGCCTTGAGCACTGCCAGGGATGGGGCAGCCACAGCTTCTCTGGGCACCCTGTGCCAGCGCCTCAGCACCCTCACAGGGAAGAGCTTCTGCCTAAGAGCTCAGCTCAGTCTCCCCTCAGGCAGGTTCAAGCCATTCCCCTTGGCCTGTCCCTACAGGCCCTTGTCCCAAGCCCCTCTCCAGCTTTCCTGCAGCCCCTTTAGGCACTGGAGCTGCTCTCAGGTCTCCCCTTCAGGAGCCTTCTCTTCTCCAGGCTGCCCCAGCCCAGCTCTCTCAGCCTGGCTCCAGAGCAGAGCTGCTCCAGCCCTCGCAGCATCTCTGTGGCCTCTTCTGGACTCACTTCAGCAGTTCGTGCCTCTACCCTTACCACAGCACACCCCATAGGTAAAGCCTCACGATGCTGCTCTGTGCCCTACGCAAGGACAGCAGCTTCTGTCCAAGTTCTCCCACCTTGGTGGCTGTCACCGCTGTGGTCAGGGTTGTGTTCTTTGATGAGGAGCCGTTGGAGCTTGCTGGTGACGTCTGAGCTGCCACAGATTTGCTGTTTGCACCATTTGCACTGTTGGCTGTGCTGGCTGAGTGGGAAAAAGTGAATTTGAATCCCCCAGCTGAAGTCCTTTTTGGAAGATTCTCTTTGTCTTCACTCTCCTTAGCTGAAGGACAAACAGTGTCACACTTAAGTATCCACCGTACACCATGGAGCACAATCCACATCACAGCACAAACCCCATCCTATTCCTTTAACTCAGGTTAAATCAACAGCTGCCCACTGGCCTCATGGAGAGCGCACCAGCATTCAGACTGAACGGCACAGATGCTGCAGAGACGGGGACACTGCTCACTCAGCACACACAGTACACAGAAAGTTCTGCTTCTGAGTGTCAAATTAGATGCATGCTTGCAGCAACTGAATTCATTACTTTAATCCTAAGCTAACTTGCAAAGACATGTTAGGAATTCATTACCTACTAATATTCATGATTACAATGAATACCCGTACTCTTGCCTGTGACACAGAGCATGTGCAACTGGTTTGCTTACAAGACACCCCATGCATCTGCCACAGAGAACTCCAGTGCTGAAAAGCTGAAATCCAGCCAATACCTTTTTTAGTTTCCATAAATTTTTCATAGCTATCTGGAAAATCATCCTCCTGTTTGGACTTCTCAACTGGAGGCACAACAGCTTCACCTTCTTCCTCTTCGTCTTCATTGAACCACATTTCTTCATCCTCCTCTAAGGCTCTTGCATCTCTGCGAAATCTATTGCTACGCAATATAGATGGAACACTGTAAGAGACACAGGACAAGTGATTCCAGTTTTGCCTGCTGGTTCACACTCAGCTGGGATCACAAGTGGCTTCTCACACTTCAGAGTGCATTCAGTGCACCTGACAAAGCAGTCCAGCTCCATCCCTGGGCCTAGCATCACCATAAGCATCACCAAACCCCAGCTGGCAGGAAAGCAGACTGGATCCCAACTCGGAGTGCTCTTTGTAAGCTCAGAGTTTTCTGAACATAACATTTAATACACTGACAAACAGGATGTGGACCTCAGGAGGGCAACACAGCAAGTCAGCTGGGGTTTACTCTGACTGGAGAAGCTTTCATCAGCAATCAAGAACCACCCCAATCCCATCCTTCTGCCTTCATTTGCCGTTTAGGGAAGGTTTCAGACTACCTAACCTGGGTCGTACCTGTTCAGCTTCTGGTTTTGTCGGTCTTTCTCTTGCTCATATTTTGTCTTCAGTCCCTTGAACGTCTGAACATACTCAATGGATTCAAGTGCATTATAAAAGTTTTCAACTATATGTGCAATAAGGGACTTAATATCCTCCTGCAGAGGAACAGAACAGGGTTTCAGAGTCAAATATTAACATGCACAAGTTGGGAAAGCTTTGGAGTTTAGTTTTAGAAGTAACGGGTTCATTGTCCAGAGTCAAATCATGATTGTAAAGAACAGATGTGAAGTAACCACATTAGTTAATAAATTATTAATTAATAATTAAGAAAAAAAGCTGAGATTGAGAATTAACTGTTAATTCCCCATATGAACAGACAATACACTTAGCACTGGGCCAATTCTAGCTGTGATAGTTTGATTAAACCATGTTGCTTGCTATCTAGGATTAACCTTCTTGAAAGAAGCAGGAGTTTAGCTGTGCCCTGCCCTCCATAGAGGTTTAAGCTCTTTCCAGTCCTCAGTAACTAAAACAGCATCATGGCATGAAGCGCTTTCTGGTCACTCACCCTCTAACAAGCCTCACCAAATCGAGCAATCTAATGTTCTGCCACACTGGAAGTCACCCAGAGACACCACACATTCCCTTCTTGCTGGAAGATAGCAGCTAGGATACCCTAAGACTAAAATCCACCCTTCATTTTCACAGACCACAAAGACTCCCTGAGAAAGCTCCCACACACCAAAACATTTGCACTGAGTAGCTCAGGAGCTGTTACAAGTCCTTGTTTTGCACCTCAACAATACAACCAACTGGGTGCTCCTGCTCATCCTGTCTGCCCTGTCCACATCCACAGGGTTCCCACAAACACTGCCAGTGGAAGAGCTACTCATTCAAAGCTGACACTGGCCAAATGTGTTAGATTTGAAAGGGCAACGATCATTCACACTTACACTCAAACTGATCTGATTTAGAGGCAACAATCATAGAACCCCAGCCTGGTTTGTGTTGGAAGGGACCTTAAAGCTCCCCCAGTTCCAACCCCTGCCACGGGCAGGGACCCCTTCCACTGGAGCAGCTTGCTCCAAGCCCCAGTGTCCAACCTGGCCTTGAGCACTGCCAGGGATGGGGCAGCCACAGCTTCTCTGGGCACCCTGTGCCAGCGCCTCAGCACCCTCACAGGGCAGAGCTTCTGCCTAAGAGTTCAGCTCAGTCTCCCCTCGGGCAGGTTCAAGCCATTCCCCTTGGCCTGTCCCTACAGGCCCTTGTCCCAAGCCCCTCTCCAGGTTTACTCACATATAAAATACTTCACTGAATTCCTCAAAGTCTGGTCCAGAAACAAGTCCGTGATGGGACAATGCAGCAAAACAAGCACGAAGCAGCTGACTGCTTCCTCTCTATTTGGGTATTCATCTATGGGATTTCTAGGCTGTGATTTTAAGTAGTGATGCACTGTTTCAGGGGAAGATCTGCAGTCTGTATTTCTACCCGAGGCATCACATACATGTAAGAGCTGCTCAACTTACCACTCTGATGAATTCAAACAGCTCAATCACAGCAGAGTTGAGCAGATTGTACCTAGTTCCATTATCCAACAGAGCATTTATAACTGGTTCAAACAGGTTTCCCTTGATGATGTAACGGTTATAAAATTCATCTTTTAGGCCAATTATCCTCCTCATAAAGCGAAGAGCACCTGTATTAAAGGAAGAAATTCAAGGATTTAATAACCACATGCCAGGACTCCAATTATCTGCTCCTCTTGGAACGAAACCTGCGGTCATCAAGATGATGTGCCCCAAAGCAAGAGCATTAAAAATCACTGATAGTTCAGAAGATGCATTTGCTGACAGGTAACCTTTATGTCTTTGACTTCTCTGGGTATTTGAATTGATCAGTGTCCATTAATTTCTGTTTGATATACAGCAGCAATAAACTTCAGCACAAGCAAAGTTAAATTCTTAGCTCATTCCTGCGCTTTTCTGTGTTCCCCTCCTGGAAGGAGTTCCTAATCCCTAAATTCAGAACATTTCCTTTGCTCTCCACAAGGAGCTCTAAATTCCTCACATTAAGAAATTACAGTATTTCCATTTAAATAAGACAACTGATCACAAGTGATCCTTAAGTCATCAAGACTTCAGGATCACCGTGGACTTCAAAAGATACACCTCCTCCCACCACAATGGCACTGGTCTACATCAACAGGCACCTGCTACCTTTTCTTCAGCATTACTTAACAGCTAGTCAGAAATAAACAGCAAATCAACGTGACTTTAGAACTGAAGTATAAACTTTTACTCCTACACATTCCAAACAGCACCTGAAATGCCTCAAAGACGGAAACTGCAACAGCTCCATACTCACACAAGGCCAGAAACGTGTGTTTTGAATTCATCAAGACCAGTACTCTCCTTAGCAAATCTTTGTTCATAATGTAGTTCTTGATGTGATATGCGTGGTGCTCCACACAAAAAGTCAGCAGCTCCAAAATTAAGGCAAGTAGTTGTGCCGTTTGGTAATTATCTGCAGGAAAAGTTAATGCCTTAAGTTACATAAAGAAACCCATGTACTTTCATAGAATCATAGAATAGTTAGGGTTGGAAAGGACCTTAAGATCATCCAGTTCCAACCCCCCTGCCATGGGCAGGGACACCTCACACTAAACCATGGCACCCAAGGCTCTGTCCAGCCTGGCCTTGAACACTGCCAGGGATGGAGCATTCACAACCTCCCTGGGCAACCCATTCCAGTGCCTCACCACCCTAACAGTAAAGAACTTCTTCCTTATATCCAGTCTAAACTTCCCCTGTTTAAGTTTTAACCCATTACCCCTTGTCCTATCACTACAGTCCCTAATGAAGAGTCCCTCCCCAGCACCCCTATAGCCCCCCTTCAGATACTGGAAGCTGCTCTGAGGTCTCCACGCAGCTTCTCTTCTCCAGGCTGAACAGCCCCAACTTTCTCAGCCTATCTTCATATGGGAGGTGCTCCAGTCCCTGATCATTCTCATGTCCCTCCTCTGGACCAAGCTCAGCTGCTCTTCTAGCTCCTGACACTGGATTGCTTTAGGAAATGGGACATTGGGACAGAACAAAACAACCACCATGAATTTGGCTTTATTTCCACCCTCAGTCACAAGAATCACCCTGAACTGGCAGCAGGGCTTGTCCAGGACCAGTAAGCCACTGCTTATGGCAATCCAGACTGACTGTATGCAGTTAACAGAGCCAGTCAGACCTGTAGCCCTGTGAACCTACTTAGCAATGGCTTTTCATAAGCTCAAAAAGCCTGCAGAGATAAAAATCCAGCCCATAAAAGCTCAATGTGCTCCTTAGTGCATGTTCTGCTAAAAAACCCCAAATCCAGTAGCTCAAAAGTAGGTAAAATGTTCAAAATCATAGAATCATAAAATGATTTGGGCTGGAAGGGACATGAAAGATCATTCCTTCAGCTTCCCATCATCTCAGGTGAAGCAAAGCACCAGCACCTACTTCAATAAAGACTATTTAAAAGATAGAGTGTGGACATACCTAACTTTTTGGGAGTTGTTTTAAATAAAACCACCACACAGAGCAAACAAAACAAGCTTAGAAACTCAGTCAGAACTTACCAGGACAAACTGTATTACTCTTTGTGGACCCAACTACTGCATCTGACAAAGAAAAGAAAGCCAAAAATCAGAAAGAGGTTTCCAAACACTGTCAATATTTAACAGAAGGGGATAAACCATCAGTTCAAACTTTTCATCAAATCCCAGGTTTCTGTTAGCTGCAGGGAAATAAAGATACAGCAAAAATGCACTTTCTAGATTCAATTTACATTGCAGAGCTTCAAATTCAATCAGGTAAAACACATAATCTAATATTTAGGAACATTATTCCTACCTAGGCTGAAAGAAAGTGCCTGGTCTCAATTTTTCAAATAAGATTTTGAGTTCTACAAACACTCTGCAAGTTCTGTTTTTGTATAAACCCCATAAACCATTTAGTTTTGACTTAATGTAAGATGGGTGAGATGAAATAATGGCTTTGCCAACTACATATTGCTTTGATTTAATCTCTGGAAAGAACACTGGGAACAAACTGACTGGGGAGGCTGTAATGATGTTACATTTCAGTATGCAAAGCACCAAGGGCAAACTGGTGAGGGTTTGTTATCTGCTGTGCCAAAAGAGATTCCGGTTCTGCTACTGCGGCCAGGGAAAGTTCGAAAGGAAACAAGAGAAAGGAGTTCCACTTGTATTGCTTTGAAGAGATTTCTTTTAGCATTTCTATATTCAGCCAAGGGAAAACCAGTGTTAGCAGTTCATCACCTGAGCACCCAGCACCTGGAATCACGTAACCACTGATGTCACAGGGTTTTGTAAGCTTTCAGATAAAATTACCTCTCAACTAAACACACTGTCTGCTTTACAGCAAATATCCTCTAGAATTATACTAGTAAAATAAGTGCACAGGTAACAAAGCACATCCAGGAGACACATCTGTCACAAAGCACAGTGTAAATACACATTAATGCTCAAAGCTGCAAGGAAAGAGCTACTCAAACTCTGCCCGCAGAACCCCATCACTGGGGACACACCAGTTCTCAGCAAGTGTATTCCCAGCTCACACCATGGGCTCATCCCTGCTACCAGGACTGTAAAGCACTTGGAAACACTACAGGACTTAAAGGGAAAAATGAATATTACCTTTGTCACATTTATCTTCTGCTGTATTGGCCAGAAGTGGTGCAGTGAGAACGTGCATACAATGGTTGTAGAAGAAATTGAGAAATTCACTTTTTTCTGTTTTCTGAAACAAACAGAACTTTATTAGACCCTGGCATTTGTATGTAACCCTTTAAATAAGAAACAGTAACCTAAGAAACAGCCAACAAAGAATTCCATGGACTCCTTCAGCTCTGGCTGTATCTATTTGGTTGAGCCTGCAACACTGTCACTAAAGGAAGATCTGTTTCTTTACTTTGGGAAAAGATCTGCGAGACATCAAAACAACCCAGCTACCACCAAAACAGTCCCCACCACGGATGCAAATATACACTGAAAACACATCAGTGACTCAAAGTGCTTGGCAAAATTTGCTTAAACTGTTCCTAAATGCAGTAATTTTATTCATAACAACCTGCAAACCTTTCTACACTGAACAAGTATCATCTGATGCATTCTATACAAAATATGTGTATCAATGTGACTAAGAGTACAATCTGTTTTCTTACACGGAGTATGCATTTAATTACAAATACACTGTACTTTGGTTTGGCTTCAGAATGTCAGCAGCTGAAACAAAGGAGTGATCCAAGTTTTAAAGCAGATTTCCATAAACTGCTTATTCATACTTTGACATCAGAACACATGTGTGCAATACAAATAAATCCTTTGGTATGGCACTGCTTGGATCAAGTTGCATTTTAAATGTGCCACTGGTATTTAAACACTGATTTGGTTGCAAGCAAACTCTACCAGATTCTCTTCTTTCACTATGCATCAGATAAGAGGAGTTATGACCAGACTGGTGCTGTTTCACTGAAGCACAGGACTGCCTGCTTGCATAAATACTTGTACAATGCCACATACCTTCAATTAACAGAAGCTGATGGAACTTTTAGCTTACTTTTTAGCTTAAATTCAGTATCACACCACTTTGCTCAGACATTAAAGTGCCTTTACCCCTTTGGATTTTCTTACATTAGCTGTGGCCAACATATTCTCTGGATCTATCAGAGTCCGCAAAAGCCCCATCAGCTGCACAGCGCCCCCGAGCTCGGGATCGGTGTCGCAGATCATCTGCTCAATGACCACGTTGATGAGGAGGATATCCTGCAACAGAGCCCAAGCAAACCACAGGGGAATCAGGCACAGTTTCAGCAGCAGAATGAGTTTCTGTATTAGGGATCTTTTTTGCACAACCCTTCTCACCTAATATCATTGTCAGGCTCAAATACAGTCTTATTAGTGTGAACACCAACATGCTCATAAATCTTTGTACCCTGGATCTACATTTTCTCATGTTCCTATTACCTACATTTCAGGGCTAACTGTATCCCACATTGTGCAGAGGTTGGTTTTGCTGTGGGCTTTTGTTTCCCCTATTTGCTCTAAAACTAGTATATTCAAACTCCAAACCACTTCTACTTACATCATCACTCTGCTGAGCCTCTTGCATGACAAACTCTCGGACCATGGATGGACTAAATTCTACTAGATAAGAAAATATATCTGTAGCAGCAGATCTAACTTGCAGATCATCCATTCCCTAATAGAAAAAAAGAGGACCATTTATTAGAGTAAATCAAGTTTGGGATTTATTATCTATTTTCCCACTTCAGAAAAGGTGCAAGGCTTTCTGTGAATCCAACAGCCCTAATCAGGAAGGAACCATTTCTCTCCTACTTGCTGGAATACATAAGACACTAATATTCTGTACCTGTTATCCACAGTTTATTGATTTCATACAAAAGGCCCAACTGCACAAATCAATTCATACAGAAGTTTCTGTACTCATTTACAGACAAGAATTAATCATTCTCCCTAAAGTATGACGTTTTCTCTGATAACTGAACAATTCCTAAGCCTAAAATATTGATGTAACAGGAAACATTTGGACTCGAAAAGAATAATAAGATTAGGGTTCATCTAATCACATCTTAACAGCCCGTGTCCTTCAGGGAGTTCGCAGGTTGTTACTCTACAATATAAACCTCCTTGAATTTAGAGTTTCTGAGCCACAGCAGCACTGGCACATGAATGACAAGAGTGAGGCAGCAAGAGCTGCTCCAACCAAAGGAGTGAAAACCCCCATGTTCTCACATTGCTGATTAAGATGGATTAATCTGCTTTAGACCTCTGCAAAGACAGGATTAGGTGATCTTAAGATAGGAACAAGATAACAGGTCAAGATCAGCTAAAAATACTTCTTTGGCATCATCCCAATAACAACAACAGAAAAGACACCCATCAAGCTGCCACATGAGAAAGAGCAGCCTTCAGCTGTCACACCGAGTTTGCTACAGACTTCTCCAATGTGCAAAGTAAAACAGCATTATGAAACAAAAAACAGCAAAAATGAACACCTTTTGGCTTCTGAATTGGAAGCTGAATAAACTTCAGCTTTCAGCAGAGTGAAGCTGTGCAAACTTACACACACAGGGGCTCAGCAGCACTGAAAACATGGTTAAATGGGTGCGTGTGTGGGTTTACTGTTGTTAACATCAGCTCTAAGTTCTCACTCACCATTACAATTTCAAGGGCTGGAAGTATTCCCAACTTTGCCAACGTTTTGAAAAATGCATCTCTGTTCTGAGGTTGTAATGTCTGGGAAAACGCACAGAATTCCTTGAAAAAGTTAACCTGTAACAGGGAAAAAGTCATTTAGGGTGTCTTTGATTCAAGAAACTCTCTGGAAGTAAGAAACTACTCCCATGTGGAACAGAGCGTGTGCACTGGCTGGCATGGTCCTTCCTGGATAAACGGTTTATTCTAGCTCTCTCCTCCAACCTTCACCAACATCAATAAAGTTAAAGACAGTAAAAACGAACTAACAGAAGTTTAAGAGGTTGAAAACGACTTCAGAAAGAAACACAAGGACCCTGTGGTGACTCCTTTAGCACAGCCAGCACATGAAGGGTTTATCTTCCTGCCTAGTGTGCCTTTTGTTGAGAAGACCACAGATATTTCCCTTGCCAACAGCAGGATTTCAACTTTAGCTGATAAACACATCGAAGGAGAAATAATGTTTGTAATATACATATATTCAGGGTAATCCTCAGTCATAGGACTTAAAACATCTTTGTTGAATGCATAAAATACAGTGACAAAAGCAGTGTTTAGATGACAAAAAGAAGTGATGTGGTACATTGACAAGTACTTGGAGGAAACTATACCCTCAAGCCTAGGATATCAGCTCAGTGCTAGTACTTTCTCAACGATAAAATAATCGTTTCGAACAAACAAATCAGAGTGAGAACTATCTGTCTAGGGAGTACATAAAGGAAGACCGAGCTACACCGGAAATGGTTCTGGGGTTACAGAAACGCCCCAGTGACTGCAGAACCACAGCAGCACAGTTTCTGTCACTCTTTGTACGTAACCCCTGTAGTTTAAAGCCTTCAGAGAACCACCCCGAGCTCTGACTTACCAGTTCACACCGTTTGTCATCGTCTGTAGCTTCATCTGTTAACTGTGCAAAAACTTCAGACAAAAATTTCTCATCTTCCTGCATGACACATAAAGAGGAACAGGACTTACACAATGCCTCTGCAGAGACAAACCATCCATCTCTACTGGATCCCACACTGCAGGAAGTCAAATGTCAGCTTAACTACGATGCTTAAGGACAAACAAAACCCCATGCACTAGCAGATTTGGTAGATAAGGAGTTTTTCTTCCTTTTCTCTCCACACCTCCATGACTTTATCACGAAAAGGGAAATGCAGGAGCACACACCCAGGAGGATCATTTCCAGTGTATTATTTCAGGATTCACTCTGTGCTGGAGGCAGCGAATAGGTGCTAACTACTGAAACTGCTCTCTGAACGACCCACGCACTATGATCTGTCCCAAACTACAGACAATGGCAGTCTTTCACACAATCCCAGCCTGGTTTGTGCTGGAAGGGACCTTAAAGCTCATCCAGTTCTAAACCCCTGCCATAGGCAGGGACCCCTTCCACTGGAGCAGCTTGCTCCAAGCCCCTGTGTCCAACCTGGCCTTGAGCACTGCCAGGGATGGGGCAGCCACAGCTTCTCTGGGCACCCTGTGCCAGTCTCACTTTTGCTCCAGGCTCCCTCCCTGCACCTTCATGAAACCTTTCAGGGAACATGCATTTTGGCAAGTGTAAGCCATTACACTCCTAACTTCTTTTTATACCCTAGAAACTGCCAACCAAGACATTTTTTACCTCCTGCACCTATGCTGCTCACACCACAGGGTTAACATGTCCTGTGTAGCAGTTACCCTATCCTGGGTCTGCAGAATCACAAGCATTTTGTCCAACCACCTATGTGTGTGTCTAGAGGAACACATGATGAGTTTGCTGCAAAAGCTCCCCAACCTGTAGTCCAGCTTTTCCAATCTGGGAAACTTGAGTCTCTGGCTTTTCATATTCAGATCCTGTACTACTTATTTTAAAGTATACATAGGACAACATTTCACTTCTTGTTAAGCATTTCAAGTCACACCACTGCTCAGTATCAAGTGGTACTAGAAAACAAGGGTGAACATCATTTCTCAGCTCTTGGGGCGCTTTCTGCCTGCTCTGTACATCAGTTTCTCTCCATGGAAACAGTGTTGGCATTCTCTCATATCAACTGCCTCTATTACCTCTTTAAACACAATACAAATCCTAAAGCAAATAGTAACGTTATGCCACAGCATTACAAAATGATGCATCACTGCTGATTCAACTCTGCAAACTTTACTTATGCACTGAACAAACATGAATGGAATAGCAGCATGCCAATAAATATACATAGAAACGTTACACTGCATAATGCAGAGGGGGATTATTCTCTGTTTTCCTGTGTGCTGCTGTTATAACCTGGTTGCTTTTTAGGCTGTGACAGAAGACAGAATTTTTCCAGTTACAGGAATACCAGCCAAAGGTTCACCACTGAATTCCTGAAAACTGTAAGAGGGGGGGAAAGAAGCACTTTACAGGCAAATGATACCTGGAATCAGCTTCAGAGAGAGCACAACATACACACACTGAGTAGTTCACTCTGCCTTTAACAGCTTACTTAAGCCTGTTAACAAAAAATAACCCTACCACAACCAACCTCAGACAGGCTACAGACTCCCTGCTGCAGAACACCCGGAAATGGAAACATCCCTTGCTTGTCTAAGGCTGCTGCACAGTGTAGTCCTGATATCCTAAGCACAGGATGGATCTAGGATTGTTTTCCATGCTCACTCCATGCCCCATTCACAGCAGCACCAGGATCTACTGCTTCACAGCACACAGGAAGGTGCTTTACTACTGCAGCAAACACAACCTGTCACTCCTATAAACCCCACTCTCATAGGGAGCTTTGCTGGTGTATGTAGGGTGGGACGACCTCCAACATGTTCACCAAACCCAAAGGAGCTTTAGAGTCCTTGAGCCACAACAAAAAGGTGATTTATTCCAGGGGACTGTGAAAACAGTCTTAAACCTGAGGTCTACACTACCATGTAACCCTCCTCCTCTTCCATACTATCTCTCCCATGTGCTTTCTCCTTAGCTTGCAACTCTCAGGGCAGCTCAAAGGATGCAAGTATCAACATTATTTGTAAACCATCACCCAAGTCTTCAGAACAGACAAGCAGCCCTATGTGCCACATCCTTTCTTCACTGTGGCAAGGACAGCAGTGACAGAGCAGCAAAGAACTGACAGAGGATTTCAGAACCTTCTCCAGAGTGCTGCAGGTAACAGGGAACCATAGTGCTCTGTTAAGGCACAATTAAATAGCCAGTACAGTAAAGCCTAGATGAAAAATAAAGAACTTCACAGAGTTAAATATCCCTAACTGGAAACAAGCCTGTGGCCTCAGGAGAGTAACAGTAATATATGCAAAAGAATTAAAAGGGAAATCTTTATTTAACACAAAATCAGTAATTCTGCACGTGGGATTCACTTTCTACTTTCTGGCTGAACAGCAGAAAGAAGCTGGAAAGAAGCCCCAGAGCTTATTCAGGCAATACTCTACAGTCCTCCAGTTCTGGCTTGTTTCCCCCAGTCCTCTCTGACATTCTTTAGCAATATTCCTGATGGCAATGTCACTGCTCCAGTGCCCCTCTCCGTCCACAATTTTAACTACTCTCCTCTCATACACCTTCCTATTTTACAGACTATCCACACTCAAGCCCCACAGGTTTGTGGTATTCTCTTCTAAGGACACAGACCAGAAACAGAATAAACCCACTTTGGTATCCAGCAGTTTGCACAACAAAATGGGAAGTGAAAATACCCCAATTGTCATGTTCACACTCAGCTCTTTAGCAAGGCTCCTTCCACAGGCCCTCCTGGCTGCCACACCTACCTATTCTTAAGCCTGCTTCTGATCACAAAGTGTGCAGTAAGTTTTCCAATGTAGTAATGGGCCAGTTATTAATTAATTAGTACTTCTGGATATCAATATGAAGGAAAAAAACCAACACTTTATATATATATATATATATATTACATGAACGTTTGAAATTACTGTAAATTAATAGTAGTACAACAGGAATGGTTCCAAACATGCTCTTTTGAATCAGATTCAGAATGTGTTAAAAAGTTGCTTGTTTCCTAAAAACCTACATAAAACCAGCTCAAAATGCTCAGTACGGTGCTTGTGAATCAAGAACCTTTTACTGTTTCCTGAAAATCTACTGTTACTTGAAATTTACCATTTCTAAAATACAATAAGGGGAAGCACTGAAACCATTACACAAATGAAAACATCAATGATTAACTTACACAGTGTTAAAGAGCTGAAACCGATTGCGAAACTACAGCTAGAGGTATCTATAGGTGATCCATCTATAGCATACTGAAACCCACTTACCTGCAACATACTGACAATCTCAACTTTGTTGAAGAAAATAAAGGAAGTGAGGGTAGAGAGAAAATTCTCTTCAAACACAGACGGTGTGGGCAAGATGATGTCCTGAATGTACTGTACCCTGTAAGTCTGGTGGATTTTTTGCCTGAGTTCAGAGTCTGTTATAGGAATAACCTCCTTAAATTTTGCTGTTTTGGTCAAGAACTCCCTGTGCCGTTTTGGCTGAGCCAAAGAAGGATCGTATTCCAGGCATCCAACAACATCCATAATACACTCATCTGAAAACATCACCTCAAACAGAGTTGCTTTGTTGAGGAACAAAATTCCTCTAATAATTTCATACAAATGATGTAAGCCTTCGGTGTTCTCCAGATTCTCACACACTTGGAAGAGCTGTAGTAGTTTTTTTATGTAGCCTTCATTCTCCAAGGCCAGTGCCAGCTTTTCCCTACGGATGGGCGAGGAGAGGACAGAGGTAACTAGGTCAGCAATCTCTTCAAGTTTGTTGAGTTCACAAGTCGGAAGGTCGATCAAAGGACTAGTTTCAGGCATTTCTTCTATGTGCTCCTCTTCTGACTCAATGAGGTCCTGCGTGACTTCCACTGAAGGATCCTTACCTTGGACCTAAGGAGAGTGTGCACAATTACCAGCTAATCCCAAAACACAGACAAAAATCATCAAGTCACTAAATGAAACAGTATGCGCAGAAGCACTTCTATAGCTCCAGCTGCATGGAAAACATTTGGCCATGCAGAGGACTAAGTTCGCTGCCTCTAAGTTCTCCAGTCATTACTATTATTTGGGGGTTGGAACTGGATGATCTTAAGTTCCTTTCTAACTCAAACCACTCTATGATTATCCTCAATAGTATCAAAACCCAAATAAAACCAAACCCTAATAGCATCCCTGCAGTCACAAAGGCTGAAGAACCTTCAGACAAGCACAGAAAGGTGTAAAGAAGGGCATCAGAATACCTTCTTTCATTTTCTAAATCAGAAGGCTCTGAAGAGTTAAACTCATAGTAAGAGAAATCACAACAATCCTGTTGCTATGCGCCCCACAAAGAACAAGTTACCCAGGAGTCTCAAAGGAGAATGCAGGAGGGTTCTAGAACCTGATGGCTGACATGGTCTGATCACACAAAAACCTTCCTCTCAGACTGGTCACCGCCTCAGTTCCAATTTAAGACCAGTTTAAAACCTGGACTATGTACTAGACACATCTACTTGTCGTTACTAGCATCAGTTTCTTTCAACAACAGCACTTCAGAACTGGCTGAGAAAACACTGTATCCCAAAGCATACCAAGATTAAACTGCATCTAAATGGCCTAGTTTTGAAACCGGTAGCAAATCCGAGTTGTGTTCCTTTAGATAAGAGCTTCACACTGCACCATTTCAAAACCTGAGAGTAAATCAAATTCCAACACCAAAGCCCAGGTTTCCTCTTTTAAGTACACTCAGGTGGGATTCCATTGACTTGTTCCTTCCAGAAAGCAGAAGATCTAAACTATTTTGTAATGAAATAATGAAGATTGAAACATCCATAAGACACAGACAGTCAGCAAGACTTAAATCCTGATGAAGTAGATGTCACTGACAATTCTGAGCTCCTACAGCACCTCTTTGTCTCTCAGTGAAACATCTACATCCTTACTCATTACGTTTTCAGACCCACCACGCTCCAACAGGTCACCTGGGAGAAGGACAATTAAAATGTGGTACTTTGGCATTCCCCTTTTTAATAAAGACAACAAGCCAACCCCTCTAAAATGCCCGAGACCTGTTTCATCATTGCACTGATTTTCAGAAGCATGAAATCCAATTATGAAAACAACAACTTGTGTCAATAGTGGCAACCTATGACCCGACACAGAAAAGCCATAGAAAACATAGAATATATGCTTATTTTACAAGTAGGTTGAAAAATCACAGCACAAATACATGAAGTCACTAGAACATCTGGAAGGAACAGAATATGTAAAGTGAGCTGTACCTGGCAGATTTTCTCCCAGATTTCATCACAACCAGCTTTTTCTTGAAAACTCAGTGCTAAATCATAGTTCTCTGCTTCTGACCAAACAATCAGGGTGTCCTGTTTAAGAGAAAAGCAGAAAAATAAGTGATGCTGAAGCAGGTCCACACTTATATCAACCTGTATTCTTTTAAGTCCTAGGCCTGAAGAAGAAACAAACTAAAGTTGTACTTCTCCAAACAGAACGTAAGACACTAAAACATTATATCGCCTTTTCTTCCATAAAGGACATCACCTTCCTTTTTTGCTATTTTATGACCCCTACCTTACATATTAGATATTTAAATGCACTTTTTTTCATAGCCAAAACCCTTATAATGACATTTTTCCACAACATAATTGTGTGCCAATAGTCTTGGAAAGGGAATGTAGGAGATGAGGAAAACCTGCAATGTAATGACTTAAGCCTTTTCATATTTAATACAGTAGAAACAAAAGCCCAAGATGACAGTGTTTCCTCCTCAAAAGGGTTTAACAGAGCCTTGCCAATGTGAGAAACAATGCCAAATTAATGCTAAACCATTCTTTTCCCAGTTAAACCACATGCAGTGAGACACAAGTTCTTACTAAGTACAAACAGTTGCCATAAGGTATTTTCACATGAGCAAGGGCTTTTCCCGTTACCACTGGCTCCATCAATCTCCAACCTGAGCATCTGCACAGTATGTATGGAAGATTTGCTGGAATTTATGGATAAACTAAGTGTTTCTTTCTGAGGCTGTATTAGGACACTTGCTGTAGTGTGAGGACTGTGAGCCTGTGCTTCCACATTCAGATATGTAACTGTCCTGGTTTAACCTCAGCTGACAACGAAGCACCACGCAGCAGCTCACTCAGAGAGAGATGGGAAAAGGTACAACCCACAGGCTGAGAAATGAACAGTTTAATAATGGAAATAAAAGATAATAATAATATTAATAATAATGAAGAAAAGGGATGTAACAAAACCAGAGGACTAAACCCCAAGACAATCAAGTGATGCTCAACACAGTTGCTCACTACTCACTGATGGATGCCCAGCCTGACCCAAGCACAGCTCCCATGCAACTCCCCCCTAGTTTCTGTACTGAGCTTGAGGTTCCATGGTCTGGAATATCCCTTTGGCCAGTCCCAGTCAGGTGTTCTGGTTCTGCTGCCTTCCAGCTTCTTCTGCCTCTCTCTCTGCTGGCAGAGCATGGGAAAAGTCCTTGACTCAGGGTAAGCAACAACTAAAACATCCCTGTATTATCAGCATTATTCTCACCCTAATTCCAAAACACAGCACTGTGCCAGCTACGAGGAGGAAAATTCCTCTATCCTAGCCAAACCCAGAACACAATAGTTCAGCATCCTACAGTAAACTCATCTTCATGCCAAACTGTGCAAACAGAACATCCCTCTGTTAACGCTGCAGTACATTTGATGAGCTCCAGCAAAACAGTTCCACATTCCAATGAGTTTCTTGACTAAAAAAAACCCAAACAAAACCATGAGCAAGCCCTTGCTGAATGGTCAATGAAGTAATTTACTTCCCTCATTCGCAAAGGTCAATGTTCACCACACAACTTACAAAGGCTTCTAAGTCTTTACTTTCTGCATGACTTTCGTTGTAAATGGAATATTCCAAGTGATATCTTTAAGCTAAGTAACCAAAACCATACAATATTCCACTGGTTTACAGATACCTCATATACCTTAGGAAACTGCAGGGACAACAAGAAACAGACCCTGCTACTGCCCCCTCACACTTTCACTCCAAAAGAGCTTCTTGGTTCTCTCTGTGCACCAAGTGACAGGAAACCATGAAGCTGATTGTTATGTGCAATGCAGGTGATGATGATGAAGCTGACTGGTTACTATCTGTGTGGTGATGATGATGCAGCTGATTGATTGCTATCTGTAAGGTATCCAGTAGGCTAAAAGGCCAACCCATGACATGGTATCATACAACTACCCTGTCACCATCCTTCATGTATCCACCAAAGACAGGGACAAAAACAATTACTACCAAGTGACTGTTGCTACTCTTGAACGTGTCAGCCAGCATTCCTTAATTGTTTTTGATCAAAATCAGGTTAGATGCTTAAGCAGATCTTTCTTAATGCACTTCTGTGCTTACACAGGTCAGGGAGCACTCTGTATACACAGGGAGCCACTATTTCCACTGGCAGATGAGAGGGGACTAGCATTTGAGACAGGACTACTGACAGCATGGACAGCAGATAAACTCCTCCACCAGCACGGCCATCTGAAACACACCTCTGCCTCCACTAGCACCACTTTGCAGGTACAGTTATCACTATGGAACAGGCATGAAAATCAGCATTGCTGATATGGCATTAATTCTTCATTTCTGCAGTCTCTCTCAATATCCATCTGCAGTTGTGTGTTTTGGAGGGGGATGTCTTTGCCTTTCCCTTAGAATAGTTTAGCATAACATCTTCTTATAGCAACATTGTTGAAAGTGTCTACCAACAGGTCAATCCATCAGCCTCCTTCTCTCAAAACCATCACAGGTCACATGAAAACCAGCACCATTTGCACAAGTTCAGGTGTTTTCCCCTTTCTCATGTTTATATATTCCTTCCCTGTTCTGGAAAGAACTGAGCTCACTGCACTACAGTTTTAATGCTATTTATGAGAGTTCATTTATACTGCAGTGTCCTACATTACACTTCCACTTCTATCCTACAATCACAAATATGAAGAAGTAGTGTCTCTGCTTTCGGGCTGTGATTCACGTGAGCAAATGGTACAGCTTCATGTAGCTGCCATGGCTTGTGCCTACAGCTGTCCACCCTCACCTCCTCCTCACCAACAGCTGAATCTCCTTGTGCCCTTTTGGAGCAAGCAGTTGAACTGGGATTCATGGAAAAACAGTAACTGTCAGCTGTAGGCACTGAAAAGCCTGATCAGCTCCATGCTCAGGCTCTCTTTCAGAGGTTAATCAGAACATGAATGTTCATAGGTACAGTTTTATGGCTGTTCCAAACCCCAAACCTGAATATTTACCTTGAAGCCTTCTGGGAAATTACCAGTGACCTGACACTCCAAATCAACCCACCTCCAGGTAATGTGAGACTCAAGAGGTGCCTCAATGAACAAAGACAAGTTCTATTCACAACCCACAGTGACTCAGGTAAGAGATAACAGCGTAACATAACTTAAAATGACTGCATGCATCCACCAAGGCTGCACCCGAAATCTGGTGCGAACTCTTGAGTTACTGAGTGGTGCCCACACACAGCACAAGTCACATTTCCCCAGAAATATTTCTGAAAGATGGTTTAATCAGAAAATAATTGTCTAATATCAATATAAAAATCTACCCATCTGGCACACACTTTCTGCATGACCTAAGACAACCCACAAAGCCCACAGACAGACACCCTCTGGGCCTAGCTGCTGCAAGGGGCTCCCACTCCACCTGCTTAGATCAGCACCCACGATGTGCCCCGCTGACAATCAGTGCTCCTTAATTCCATCAAACACAGCAGAAAACCAAAGAGGTGAATTCAGAACAACTTAAACCAAGAGAGGCGTTCAACCCCTCTTTGGTGTTGGTCCTGGTTTGCACAGTATCTGCTATTCCACACCCCTTTGGCAAAAAAAGGTGTTTCAGTGGAATCAGTTCCTACATGGAACCTGTCACACAGTAACACCAATACTCACACTGGCATGAAAAAGGAGTGAAGCAGCCCCTTGGCAACACTCAGGCTGGTTGTTAATAACACCCCTGCAACTGTGTTACATCCCAGCCTCAAAGAACTCCAGTTCTGCCTGGAGCAAACTGCTCTGTTGCCACATGAGCGATGGCAGCTCTGCAAGAGGCAGTATTTGCACACACTGTTCATGTCAGCTTGGAAAGAGGGCACACCTCAAGGAGTCAGCAGCAGAAGGCAGTGCTCACAGCCAGGATCTCTGCAGCAGTTTGGAGCCATGCAGCCAACGCAGCCGAGAACTGCCACCCTCGGAGCGGAGCTGGAGGAACAAAGCAGAGGAACGGATCCATCTGACTCCAGCAGAGGACAGGCTCTGCTGCCAGCAGTGCCAGGGAACAGTAACCTCCAGCACAGGGTGGAACAACACTGGGTGTGGCAACAACTTCTTCAACTGCTCCTGCTGGAGCCTCCAGAAGCAGCTGACCTGCTCCTTGGCCGACGCAGGCTGTCTGCTGGAGGTATGGAGCTCTCAAAGCCTACACCCTGAAATCCAGGGGATTTTAAAGCTCTTCAGGCTCTAGGGTTCTTTGCACACATACCATTAGAGATTCTTTCATGTTGTGTGCTGTGTCTAATCCAAGTCCCATTTCTCTTGAGAATGAGACCACAATGACAGCCTGCCCAGCACCCAGCAGAACTGGATTCTGCACAGAAGCTGGTGACCACAAACCCGATGTGAGAAGGCAGACACAGGCCTGCCCTGTTCAGTTAGCCAATAGTTACAGCATTGCTGAGCACAAACAGCGCAATCCTGGGAATCACACAATGACACCCAGCAACTAGAAATCAGTTGGTTCTCTTTGTTAGGAGTGTTGCTATGCAAATCACAACGTGATAACCACTCTAAGTCTATTCAAGTGATTCATATGAAAACAAATGTACGGGGAGGGGACGCTTCCTCTCCATCAAGCTGCATCATCTCGTGGCTTTCTCCAAACCCAAAATGATCAGCACCTTAATGACAACCTGAGACTGAACTCTGGAAGTGAAGGGAGAGCTTCCTCCATGCTGCCATTCACCTGGAAGTACCTGCCCTGGGCACATCAGTACAGCCTCCAGGTCCCCAGGCTACCTATGGAACAGACATCAAACATGCACACAGGGATGCTGAAGAAAGTCCACCCCTCTTCATCTCTGGTTATCCACAGCATTTTGCCTAAATCTTTCCACTGGTTTCAAAAGGATCTGTTCCTAAGATGCTCAGGTTTGAATACACCAATCAGCAATGAGATGAGAATGCTATGTTAAGGTCTGCTTTTTGCTACTCTACTCAGAAAGAGGCACATAAAACTAGAGGACAGAGCTCTGTCAACTGAAAGCTGCAGGACTTCAGAGGTCAGACAAACCTAGAAGTTGTCTCTGAAAATCCCTAATCATTATTCCTCTTCAAAAAACCCACCTTAACCCAAACTTCTTCCAACAGAGTGCAAGCACTTTCAGTCACAAAAGCATGAGAATCGGTAATAAAAGCCAACCAAAATAAGCCTCAGCCTAAAGCTACAACCCACAAAGGCTTCCCCAAGAAAAAAAAAGACAACAAAAAGCTACTTAAGTCACTCGAAACTTTGTTACCCATTAAGTAAAGGCTTTCAAATAATCAGTTGTATGGAGTTACAAAAAGAGGCTGCAAAAGGAGGTGCTTTAAGCTTGCACAGCAACATAATGTGCACTCGTATTTCACTACGTATCAGTTTCCCCCGCTAAACAGGGAGCACCTCGAGGCTCTTGACTTTCAGAACGCTGCAGTGCTCCATAAAGACCACCCTCTGATGAAAGGCCACGACTGTCACCCCAGCTAAAACCACCAGCACCTATTGAGTGAGAGGTGGAAACCACAGAGAGCAGCTTTCTGAAAAGCCAGGCCCAAGTCTCCGACCTGTTCCTAACCTGAAGTGAGTCGCCGTGTGCCCAAGAGCTGACACAGGCTCTTCCCTCAAGTTCTTATAACACGCTTTGTCACCAGAACAAACCAAATCCTTCAAGATTTGTCTCTTTGTGATTTAGAAAGAAGAAAATTCCTATCTTCTAGTGCTGAAACACTTCTGGATACCCTAATGATGGAGAACAGTGTGAAACACTGAACAAAAGGATCAGAATCTGCTGCAGAACAAAGGAAGAGACAGGAAGAACCCCAGTAACACTCACGAGAACAATGCAGGCAGAGACACCAAAAATTCATGCACAAAGAGGGAAAAGACATTAAAAGTGACAGAAGCAAAAGAGATTTAGCAAGCTGATTTGTTTCAGTAGATGAAACAAAAACGACTCCCAACTGTTCGACTCCTCTGTTTTGCACAAGGCCTACCCCTAGTCAAGTCTCCCCATGGCCACTCACTTCACTCAGGAGAGCAGCAGTTTTCAAGGCTTCAAACAAAAACTGTGAGAGCGACAATGAAAGAAGTCCCACAAAGATTATCTGCAGAGGAAGAACTGCAGAAGCAAATATGCTGCAACAGAACTGGCCAAGCTCTACCTTCTTCATTCAACAACTACTTCATATGGCGTGGGATGGGAGAGAGAAGTTAGGCATTTGTGTTTCTGTTTCTCCCATAATAAGGTCAGTATTTATCTGGATCACACATAGTCTCTTTAGAGCCTGAAGTCCAAAAGGGTTTTTTAGGAGACCCACATTTTCATCTCTAGAATGCAAGTATCCCAGCACATCCAGGCTTCCAAGCAAGCTGGTCACCTATACAGAAAACACCACTGACAATTCCACATTGTGTCACTTCCCTTTTTCCCTGGAAAAGGCAACTTGAGCATAAACCAATCCCTCAGCATCAGTAACCATAAAGGTTAAAGCCCAGCAGTAATACTTGCCTGCTGTTTCTGATATGCAGTATTTGGATTTATCTTCGATTCTAACAGTAGCGAACCTGCAAAAGGTATGAAGAGACACTGAGTTTAACAAAGAAACATGTGCACACATCTTACAACCACCTCCCATGTGCCACATGCTCAGCTTAGTCCAGAGCCATCTTCCCTAAACACAATTCCTTAGCATAAGTCGGTAAGGCAAAATTCAACAGAAAGACCCACATTAAGATGTATTTTTCTCTTCTAATTTAGATCCGGATTGTCCGGGCGGTGTTTCTGGGGTGACAACCAGCTCGTTCACAGGCCTTTCAGCAGACCCACATCACCCAGCACCAGGTAAGATGCTGCCCAGCTCAGAAATGCTTTTCCCCACAGGAGCCACGTGGGCCGTTGGCTTTATTTCCTTCAACTGTCCTTCAGAAGTGAATCATCCGGACACTGTGAGCCGGGGGCCTTTACCTTGTGTATGCAAGCAGTGTATGTATCCTGGCAACAGCTCGGCTGTAAGTTACACCGGGCTTAGGTGGTTTATTTAGCACATTAGCACCTGTTGGCTGACAAAGCGGCAAGCTTGTACCCCCCCCCCCCCCCAGTCAAAGAAGAACCTTTAAAAAGTGCAGACTTTAAAGTGCAAAAGAACACGAGGGATGCCCCATAACTTGGACAGAAACGACATTTCTGAGGAAAAACATAAATAAGCAAGCAACTTTTTATGGGAGGAGGAAGAGGGGAGGAAGAGCACTTTAACAGCAGACAAAAATCACCCTAAAAGCGAACAAAATGTCGCCACACGTAACGACTTCCTTCAGCCCAGGGAGATGCTGCCGGCTAGGGTAAGGGAGGGAGCTAAGGCACCGCTGCAGCTCACGGGGGGAGGAAACTGAACGGAGCCAAGAGCAAAAGGGAATAAAGGGGATAATAATAACAACGATAACAACAAAGAGCGGGGGGTCTCCCCTCACGGACAAGGGGAGGGGGGGACAGCAGCAGCCGAGCCCGCAGCGGCGCGGCCCCACAGGCAAGGGTCTGGGCCGGGGCCGCGGGGAGCGAAGCAGGAGGCCCGGGCGGCCTAGGCCTGCGCTCAGCCCCGGCCACGCTCTCACCGTCCGACTCGGCGCGCACCAGCAGCGACATCCCCTTGAGCCGCTCCACGTATGTGGAGGAGACGTGCCCGGTGCCCCTGTCGTCCCATTGCCGATCCTCGTTGAGGGTGTACACCTTCACCCGCCGACGGGTGTCCGACATGGTGCAGCCCCGGCCTCGGGCCTCCGCACCGGGGCCCGCTCCGCCTGCCGGAGGCCGATGGAGCGAGGGGGAAGCGGGGCCGCCGGGCAGCTCAGGGGCACCGCGGGGCCTTTAACGCGCCGCTTCCCATGGCTCCCCGCCGGCCACAGAGCGCCGCGGCCCCGGCCCTCGCTGGCGCCGCTCCGCCGCCTCAGCAGCTACCGCGGCGCCGCCGCCATCTTGTAACCCGACTCTCGCCGCCTTTCTCTTCCTCCCCGCCCGGCCACGGGCTCCCCTCGCAGGGGCTACGGCGGCCGAGAGCTGCCAACAACCGGCGGCGGGGCGGGGCGGGACGGGGCGGGGCAGCGGCAGGGCCCGCCCGCGGCCCCCGGGAGGAAAAGAGGCTGCTCCCAAGGAACAAGGGATGGGACAAGAGGAACCGGCCTCAAGCTGCACCAGGGCAGGTTTAGATGGAGCTGAGGAACAATTCCTGCCCCAGAGGGTGCTCAGGCATTGGAACAGGCTGCCCAGGGCAGGGCTGCAGGCACCGGCCCTGCAAGTGCTCACACCCTGTGGAGACGAGGCCCCCGAGTGGTGGGCAATGGTTGGACTGGATGAGCTTAAAGGGCTTTTCCAACCTCACTGATTGTGTGATTCAATCGCGTGTGTGTTCGCGGTCCCCATGAGAACAGTTTCACCCTCTATAAAACGTCCTTAAGATTACTATTACACAGACAAAATATATATATATACACACACACATACAGACACCCTGCACACCAGGCATTCCCTAAAGCATCCCCTTTTGCATCCCCACCACCATGGCACACAGCAATGGGCAACATCCACACGCACACCAGGGGGAGGGCTCAGCCCAGTCCGTGCTCACACAGGGACAGCACGGAATGCTGGAGGAAAAGGTGTCCCTGCACCCCAGAGCAGCCGCCAGGCTGTTGTGCACCATTCCAACCCCTCACCAGCAACACCTGCCCCATGATGCTCAATGCACAGCCCTACAGGAGGCTCAGCAGCCAAAGGGAAGATGAAGCTGCTCTGTGAAGCTTCCCAGTGAGAGAAATGTGCTTAATGCATCCTTACAGACCCTGTGCAATGTAAGACAGAGCTCTTGGGCACTGTGCAGGCTGTAAATCTTCAGTTTTCCATAGAAAACCCAGCCACCAATTTCCTCTGTACCAAGCATAACAAATCATTACATCTCAGCGTTTGCATGGGAATGAGGGAAAAGGACACAAAGGCATGCAAGGAGTCAAGCTGTGTGGAGCACTGGGGACGTGGGGAGGCTTCAAAGTGCCTCACAACATCATGTCTCAGGCTGGGAAGGGAAGGGAGATGGGAGGACAAGAGCTCCCCAGGCCAGGGTGGGTCCGGTTCCCAGACAAAGCACGGCTCTTCCAGCATTGCCCAATGGTGAAAGCAGTTCCACCGGTACAGCTCTTACGGGCTTGGTGCTGCTCTGCTGTTAAGTTCAGTCTCATTCCAGAGGAAGGGAAGGAAAAGGCTCACTATGGAATACACGGGCACCTTTCCCTATGTTAAACACACATTCTCTGGGCAGGCTTGGAAAGCTCCCTCTGTTACAGCCAGCTTTTGCTCTGGCATCCATTGTAACAGGCCTCTCTCAAGGCTTGCTGCCATTCAGCACACTGAAGAGACACACTCCAGAGCTTTCCCTGCAGACGATGGCAACTGGAACACACCTCCAAGACCCATCACATGCACATCCCTTCCGCTGCAGAGAAACTGTGCAGAATCATTCTTTAGGGTAAGCCAGTAACTGGACAAAAGGCCACGTTACAGTGATGGTTTCACCACCCGTAGCTTGGGAGTCACATTAAGCAGGTTACAGTTGGGTTCCACACAAGCCTTCCCTGCTATGTGTCAGGCCTCATCTCCTCCAGGTTTACATGGCCTGATCTTCTCAAGGTTTTACCCCCTGGACCTCAGTGAGCCCAACACAAAATCCACAAGAAGAAAGACAAAACCCAATGGCCACGGCACCTTGCTGCTTCAGGGTGTCTGCTGCTGCAAACGCTCTTCCCACACTGCAAGGCTTCTATACAAGTGCTCTTTAGCTCTTCAAGCATGTAACGCTAAGTGTGACCTCTCCTACTGCAGATGAGATGCAGTACATCTCCAGGGACACAGAACAGCAAGAAACCACAGCAGCATGTTCTGGAGCAAATTCTTACCTATCATGGTGAACAGGAGATACACAAGCCAAGAACTGGCATAAAAACTATTCCTTCGGCTTGAAATAAATCCATGCTCTCTCCAGGCATGACATCAACGACCTCTGTGGAAAACCACCACCCCAGAACACACCAGACTGCACTCCCTCAGATACAGGGCTCCTTCTTGCACTGAACTGCATCCAGGCCTCTGCAGCCTGGCGCGTTAGAAACTGCAGCATGAACTCGTCATCTCTGCTAAGAAAAAGCAAGTCAGATCTGGGGGGGTTCAGCAAACCAGTGGATTTTGGTAGGAGAGGCTGCAGACAGTGAGGAAATCCTCATTGTCACAACACAGAGCAGCAGGGAGCTCTGATTTCTGTTGTTTTCAGAAGCAAGACAGACAACTCATTCCTAAACCACATCCAATTTCTTGGAGTGAAATGAAGAGACTGTATCACTCCCTCTGGCACGTAATCCCAGTAGGACAATTAGGCCAGCTCTTAATGCTTTTATTACAGTACTCATAATATTTATTGCTGGTGGTTAAAGACACCCCAGCTCCTGATGCTCTGTGCCTGTGTGAATACTTCATTCCTGACCTGGTGGAATGCTGCAGCTGCCCAGCTTCGCTTTCCAAAGCGATTCCTTTCAACGGCTCCATTTAAGATGGGTCATTACAGAAGCCACCTAGGGCAGTAGAGACAAAAATCACCATTTCAATGTGAAAACACAAGGACTGCAATGGGGCTGAGTTTGCTTTCAAGCACTATCGACCTATCTGCTATCTAATCACAGCTGATGGCACCAGAGAGCCAAGTACCTCCTGCCACAGCCCAACCTGCTGCTACTGCCTAGGTGCAGGCAGCCTGCCTTCCCTCCAGGAGGGCTCACATCAGCACACACTCACTCAGCCCTGGCTCCACTGGAGCTGCTCAGGTGGAGGTAACCTGGGTGTGCTCCTCCCAGAGAGCTCCCAAGCCAGGCTGACTGCACAGCTCCTGCCACACGAGGAACACAAGAACACAAGAGTCTTTCTCCTACTTCACCATCCATGAAACAAAGTCCCCCAAGCACTGCAGTAGCTGATTTACTGAGACCACACAAACAGTGCTCCTGTTGCTGCAGGTAGGAAATGCCTTTCCAGGAAAGGGGATTCTTTTGGCTCCTAAGTCATTGATTTTCATGGATTCAAATGCAAGCATCCTACTGGTAATGTGCTAGCTAAAAAAAAGCTTCCAAAGATAGTATTTTATGTAATATTTTAGCAACTGGAGCATCCATCTGTTCTACAAATGTAGCCCCCCAGAAATGATTCTACAATAAAAGCAACCAAACCTTGGAAAACCACTTAGATTTGGGAGGTCAGCTTCTGAGAACAGTTATGAGAAATGGAAACATCTCGGCTTCTCCTCAGGGACACCAGCATTTGCTCATGTAATATCATTAACACAGTCCAGGGTAAGTAATGAACATGGTCTCAATCAACTAAGTCATAGGAAAGCAAGGACACTGGAATTCTTACTAAGAAACAGGACCCCAGCCTGGTTTGGAAGCAACCTTAAAGCTCCTCCAGCTCCAACCCCTGCCACGGGCAGGGACCCCTTGCACTGGAGCAGCTTGCTCCAAGCCCCTGTGTCCAACCTGGCCTTGAGCACTGCCAGGGATGGGGCAGCCACATCTCAGCTTCCTTGAGAACACAACCCTCAAAGAGGAAAAGATTGCTAAGGAAAACCTTTCCCATCTCATACGATGAAAGACACGAGTACAGAGGAGCGGCACAGTCGGTTCTTCCCTCTTTAATATTGTAACTTAGAACAAAAAAGGAAAAGAATGAGCAAGTGTTCCTGTACATTCACATTTCTCCTCCCTCCAGTGCTTTGGTTTTCCTTTCAGGAGGCTCAGAGCCCACCTGCCATCAGGTGGGAAGTTGGTATTAGCTCAAGTACAAACTGGTGAACAGCAGAAGGGTCTCACCTCTTTCACTGGCAAACCTGTGCCTCACAGGAGAAAACAGAGTGGTTCTGTGAGCCCCTGCTGAATGGTCTGAAGGCTACAAGAGGCCAGTGATTCCAGAGGCCATATTCCACTGATGGAATATAATCAGTAAAGGGATTCTGACACCCTTCGTGAGGGTGTTTTGGGGGAAAGATTTATCCCATCAGTTGCTTATTCCAAAACAATTATTTTTAATGTTTTAATGATGTATTTTCCAATGAATTGTTAATGAACCCAGATAATACTGACGTTTCAGCCAGGTCCTTTGTTTTGTCCCCCTTCTGCTTGGACACTTTAGCAATCTGAACCCTATCACAGTTATCGATGTATTCATGTGAAACAGCGTCAATCACGTTAAAGGCACTACTTCAAGTCTCTGTGTTTTGCTCACCACTTCAGTCTTGCACCCTGACAAGCCAGTAAAACTCGGACCAAGCGTGTGTCTCAACCACGTAACAGGGTAATCCCTTTTCCCAGGAATACCTGCTTCTCATCTTTACAGTTTTGAGAGGACAGTGAGAACAACGTTAAGCACTGCAATGTAATCTGCTCTTCAGCCTACCCAATTCCGTGCTCTTTAGAGCCTCACCTCACCCTTGTTACACGTGAGAAAAGCATCGCTTGGTTCTGGGTTTATTTTAAAAGGGTTTTTAATCAGTTTGAAGACTCTGAGGTTCCACATCACCTTGAAGAATAAATAGTGTCTAATGTATGATTCACTACCATCCACCTGCAGATCCTTGCGCAGACATCTACAGGTTGTAGCAAAGGTCGCTTGGGTTTCCATCAACTATCCCAGCTTGATTCCTGAAAGAGACAGAAAATCCCCAGTAACCAATTGCTCATATCAGGGCACAGCATTCTCAGACATTCCTTCAAATCATTCATTCATTCATTTTAATTTCTCCCAGGGCTGTGAATCATTCCTAAAGATTGCCACAGATGGCCTCAAGTTACCACTGGTGTGTTGCACTCCTGTGTGCCAGTCTCACTGCGTAACTGGTCTTGGTTTTATGATCAGACACCTTTGTGTTCTAGTAGATTCCCAATGAAAAACAACGTGGACAACAG